TGCATCAATGACAAGTTAGATAAACTGTTAACAACAAATCAACCTGACATTTAAATGAGAAGTATAAATACAATTTAAAGTGTATGAAAAGCTGTGGATGACATGATGTATGCTAAGTGACTCTACTTGTTTTAAAGAAAAAGACTTTCAATTGAATTAAAAAACACAGTATAAATAAAACTGCTCACCAACCAGGTGAACCTCAGTGTTTTGAATAACAGAATAACATCGGCCAGAAAAGATAAACCCAATGAGCCAAACACATTCAGAATTAAATTGCCGTATTGATTGACTATGGAGACAAGTGGGCTGCTGATAAAGTGCCTTTGCTTTGGAGAACAACATAAACAGTTGTACACAGATCCATGGGTTTAGAGGAGACCTCTCCTGGAAACAGAACACAGGGTTTGAGCTGTGCCGCCGCGGGGGCCCAGATAAAGAGAGTAATAGTTAGACTGCGGTCACATTGGTATGCAGACAGTCATGAAAGCGCTGCACTGCCTGTTGCATCTTGCAAATTCATTTGCTGAATATTGTGAAATTCAGTCACTTATGTATATTTGGAAGGTCTTTTCTATCACTTTGAATTGCAAATTAAATAGAGATTGGATCTGATTTGTATCACAGCCTGTCCTTGTTCTACTCACATAAATGTGCTGTTTCTTTGCAGATCTCATTCTGTTCCAAATAGATAAACATTTGCTATATATACATATATATATGGTCATGTGAAAAGCTTGAAAATAATTATATAGTCATCACACAATGAAGGAGATCCTGGGTAGTTGCTTTTTCCTGGCATATCAAATAGTCACGGACAAAAGTCTGATATTCCAATAATGAGTCAATACTGATTGTGTGTTGATTGATCAACACGATAAACATTATTTTTGTACTTTTTTTGTGCTTTAGTACTGTAACATGGGAGTTGAATTCATCATATCCCTTTGAATGGTAATACAGAGAGAAGTGTTCTCATTGTCAGAGTTTGTAGAGTACACAATAGAAAACAATTTATGGTGTCAGGAGTCAAATGCCAAAAATGTCTGCTGTTACAAAGTGTCAAAATGGCGGTTAACAAGCACAGCATAGTCTATCTCCCGTTCCATTGGTCCAGTCTGTTGTCGGGTGACACCTGTGATTAGGCTTCCTGTAAATCTTCCCACCCAAAGAGTTTGAGACTGGAGAAGGCCTTGGGTCACTGCTCCAATGCACAGTCACTCCTGTCATCTCCTCAGGTTTGAATCTGTGCTCCAGTCTGCTCCTTAGGACCAGTGTGCACATTAAAGGGAAATGAAATATGTCCATTTGAAGGGTATTGGTCAGGGTTATTTTGTGCATGCTGAAAAAAATCAATAGTGTTCACTCGGGGGTCCTATCTGCAGGAGTGTGATAAGATGACACGTCATTTAGGCCCACAGGCAGCATGCAGTGACAGTCAGTGTTACATACCTCTCCTCTATTCACCTCTGAGGCAAATTCTTCTCCATCTTTTCTCTGCTCTGTTTATCAACCTCTCTCTCTGCCTCTCTGTACGGATAGACTGTTTCCCCACTTACGTCCAAGAACTGGGTCTATGATTTCACCACTGATCCCCGTGTGTTATCTTCAAACCTGATATGTATGTTAACTATGAAGTAAAATGCAGTGGCCTAATATAATTTAAAGATAGACTGTATGTAAGTTTTCTGGTGGAGGGTCTGCCACCTGTCTCCATGGAGACTCTATTGTTTTAGACCTCATTGGAATGTTCCACAGTGGGGCTTTAAGATCGTCTATCTTCATAGAGACAAGAAGGAGACGGCACTAGACAAGTTACAGATCTGGTTTAGAGAAGTAGAGAGGTGACTCTGTAGGTTTTTAATCATATTTTTGAGCAATAAAAACATCCATAATTGAATACATGCATACTCGATAAGTTTAATACCATACTATTCCAGGCAAAACATTAAAATCTCCATAGTAGCAGTCCCCTCAGTTACATGTACTGTTAATATTTTGTGGGAAATGTAATGACTCTATGCAATAGTAGTTCAAGCTGTTCCACACCTACATTTAAGATAGGGCACCGTTTTGATCATATAATTACAGTTATAAATGTGTTATTTAAAAAAGTTATTTTTCAATTTAATCCAAGGAAGCAATATTTGCTCTAGTGGTATTCATTGAGCCCTCTAAGAGTACATTTCCTAAGCCAAGGTCTGTCTGTCCCATAATCCTTTGCTATTGGGAAAGAGCGGAGGTTGCCCTGAAAGTATATCAACAAACACATTTACACATTATTTTTTGCCAATGGTGCAGTTGGATGGATAGTATATGCCTGCTTTATAATTTACTTAAAAAACAGGCCTATTATGCAAAATCAACCTTTCAGAGATTTCAACAGTTTTACCCCTCACCATTTACTCACCCTAAGTTGTATTTGGACTGACTCATGCATGTTTGAGCAATCTTTAATCGTTTATATTCAAGACGCCATTCTCCCACTTTCACCGCCACTGGCATATGCCCACCGCTCTACCCAATTTTATTTTCTTAACTGGTAATACATGTAAGATTTGGCAGGTAGTCATTTTGGTACATATGAAAAAATAAATAAAAAATTAGCAGCTCGCTAGCGTGATGTGCAGCGCTGCATCAGGAGTGCTGACAACGTCATGGCTCTTTGTTGTGATGGAGTTTATGGTAATACCAGCTTCCAATGTACACTGCAATTTTCTAACACGTAAGTTAGTGAACATGTTTTTTTTTTTTTTTTTTTTTTTTTATCAAGTTGTTTTAGCTGAATATTTAAACATTATACATTTTCTTCCACTTATGATCTGGGAGTGTCATAGATTATAACTATTTAGCAGAAACAAGCACAATAGGTCTTCTTTAAATTAAAAACAATAATATATCAGACACAATCACTGTTCTGATGCTTAGTTATCAAGATCATTTCTGTATTCAAAATTGTAAATTCAAATTCAAATTGACAATAGTCTCATCATACAAATACCTCAAGTTAAAGGTGCACCATGGCATATGATTGTCTCCAGGGATGTTATCGATTTGGCAAGGGTGTTTCACTGTAGGACCAAAAATGTTCATATTTCCATAGAGATAAGCAGGTGACGTAACCAGACCGAGTTACTGGTCAGATCTGTGGAGAGGCAGCCCCACTCACAATAAGAATGTAGGTATTTATGTTATTTTTCAGTAATAAAAATGCCTGTAAAAGGAGAAATGCAAGATAGGTAAAATTAATGCCATAGTGTGGAAAAGCAATAACATATCCATGGCGACAACCAGGTAGTGAACCCTCCAACACAAAAGCTTCATAATACACCTTTGCTTGCTGCTGGCTACTGTACGAAGTGTCCTTGCAGGTAGTTAGGTGAGTGTGATCTAATGATGCATACTTCCAGTGTTTATGGCAGGAGCAGAGGAGCAGCACGAGCCTGTGCTTGTCTGCTCTTAGAATGCCCATTAACGCTGAGTTCGCCCTGGGGTGATGACCACCTGAGCTATCAAAGACCTGCGCAGTCTGAGGAGCACCCCACTCCTCCTCTCCCCTCCTCTGTCCAACCCTCTGTAGACAACCCAATGCCTCTAACTAACACACGTCACCTTTACCTCCACCAGTCTGGACCCCACCCCCAAACTCATCATGCAGTCAAGTAAATATGCTGTACTGACCTATACGATAGTCTTCAATTGTAAGAGTAAAATTACGGGTTCTAGAAGTAGTAATTCATCACGTTATTTCTAATAAGTTAAGAGAGAAAGACATGGCTTGAAAGTCTGTAATTTGAATATTCATTTATATCAATGCTCAGCCTCAACATTTTCAATGAGTTTCCTTTTTGATATAATTTCTTTGCCACTTTTATGAGCAGTGTATGGTATAAAATCTTTCATACATAGGTGCAATTGACTTTCCCTCAGTGTCCTTTTCTCTTTTTTCCAAACTTCCTGAGCATTTGCCTGAATCAGTGATGGATGAGAGCAGTTTCCTTGTGTAGAACATGATTCACTGTTCTTGACATGGGACCACGTAATCTCCCTGTGTGACAGATAAAGCTAATTAGAGGAAAGATATATCAATCACAGCTCCAGTGCTGGCCATTTAAAGATCAAGAGCCATTTTACTATTATTGTATTATTGATTAATTATACACAGTTTTGAATAGCAAGTGGTATCATGCTTTATAATCATATATTTGCAATAGCAGGTGAAAGTGTACAGCCTACTCCTCATTAATACATTTCTTGAGAGACAAAATAGTTAGCTTTCCATCTTTTCGTAACAATAGGGTCAAAAAGCTAACATCAGTGGAGAATAACTATTCATGCAAATCAGTTTTGTCGAAATGGCCTTTAACCTTATACATGATGTGTATACCTCATCAATACAACTGTCACAATGACATATACTGCTTTTCCGACTGTTGGGGCAGGGCAGGTGGATTTTCTGAGACACAAGATAACCCAAAAGAGGGCTTCATTCTTTGTAAGACATATCTCCCACTGACTAATTCCAAGTTCATTTTAGTCTATCTAATCCTGACTCATTCACATAAACAAAACTAGTTGTACTACTGCTTTGCTCCTGTAGGTGGCAGCGTAACTCTTCATTTCTGTGCTAAAGAGTGGTAAATCTGCTAAAATAGCTTGTAGACAGTTCCTCCTATTAATTTCAAAAGACTATAATCATTTTTCATATCAAGACAGTGTGATTATTGGTTTATTGTCTGTAATAAATTGTAAGTGTTGCAATCGTGTGAGAGCAGGATGGAGCTCATGTTGAGTTCAAGGGAAAGGTGTGAACAGGTATGTAAATAGGCATGGATATTTACTGTGGGACATGTCCAGACAGGAACGGATTATATACTTTAACTGCTGTATAGGAAAGAAAAATGATGTTCCTCATACACTGTACACATCAAACATCATTAAGATGGTATGATGTAGGACAATAATAAAGCACACACTTAGGAATTTATATCTGTGTATAAAATATGTTCAAGTTTATAGGTCGTACAAATATATTACATCCAAGTATAAAGTTAAGACAGACATAAAATACACAAACGTGGGTGGCATAATACACTTCAGTAATGTCACATAAATACATAAAAAGCATATTTGTCAGATGCAGTGGCTTTTGGTTTTTACCACAGGTCAATAAAATATACACAAATGGAAAATAAACAGAAACGACAAAGGGACATAATTCAACAGTGTCAAATACTAAAATAAGGTTAGCTAATTTTCATGCAACTATTTTATAACAGGCTATAACAGTTTGTCTAATTTCTAAGTTTAATTCATTTGTTTGAGATTATTTTCTTCCAAGATATTAATTTGGGCATATTGTATTAAGATATTTTAATGTTTGGCTTAGTTTCCCCGCCTCTCCCAATCTGTCTCTCTACCATCACTCACTCTGGGCTTTACACTAGAACCTTTTTGTATAAAAAAGATACAGATATATTCAGTCATTTCATATATTGAGATGTGAAAATTTATAATTGGGATATATACTTTTGTCCGTATCGCCCAACCCTATTTGATCAGTTTTAAAATTATATCCTAAAAAGAAATGTGTGTATAATTTCTGTAGTAAGGACATATTGTACATACAAAAATACAATCACAAGCATATGCTTTGATTAGTGGTAGAATTTGGATATAGTGAAAAGTCTGCATTACTATATTGTCCTTAGTGTCTATATCTTCAGAGCTGTTAGAGCAATGTTCCTGTGATAAAGACGTAGATACGGGCCTGAAATGTGGTAAATGTCCCTTGACGCCACAATTTCATCTCCACGGTAACAAGGAAGTCCCTGGGTCCCTGCACCTGTCTGTGAAGGTAGACTGCACCCGTGTAGGTGTTGAGTTTGCGGGTGCTAAAGTAGTTCTCGTCATTGCCCTGGGTGATGCTGACAATGACATTATCCCCAGAATAAGCAGGGGATGGTCCGATTCGGAAAATCTGAGCCGGAATGACAATGTTTGCCTGGAAGCTGAGGTAGTAGTAGGTGATGCGTAGAGGAGAGGTCTGGCAGTCCAGGTAGGTGGGACAGCTCATACGCTCACAACGGCTGAAACAGAGAAAGAAACTCTGTCATTTAAGTGAACAGGACTCTGAAATGGATAAATAGTTTGTAAAAGATTAATCAGACACAATTTAGCTGGGATTCACTCAAAATCACATACCTTAATGTGTTACCGAAATATTTATGGCACATCAGTTACATTAAAAGATTACTTTCATATAATTTTGTATTGTTTATATAATTGTGGTAAATGCTTTGTACATGGTTCCCTAAAGTCCCTGAATAATATGGTGGACTTTTACAGGGATTGGTTAGGTTCATGTTTGAAGTCTTAGATAAAAAGTTGAATAATGCAACTCTATGAGATACATTAGCAAAACTATACTAAAAAGCAAAACGAGCAAAAGACAAACAAACAGACAGACAAAAAGATATATAGATTAATTAATGCCAAGCGAAATTTAATATAAGTTTTGCTGCAGCAAACTGTTGCATCTGATGTTGTTACAACATTTCCACTGCGTGTCTGGTCTTTGTGCCTCAGTCAAAGATCTCAGTGCAGTTTAAGAGGAGGACTGGTCAGGTAGGGTCAGCAGATCCTGTGTCAAGCAAGGCAAGGCAAGTTTATTTGTATAGCACAATTTGTACGCAAAGTAATTTAAACTGCTTTACAGAATAGCTAGGGGCTCGCCTCCCCGCCTCACTGGGGTCAGGTGTCAGGGCAGTTTGAGGAGAGGAAGAGCCAAAAGTGTCCCTCCTCTGTATCCTGCAGCTTCACAACAGTGTCCAGGGGAAACCAGTTGAACACATCAGGAAAAGCCTTACTCTTACTCCAGTCTGGTGTTTCAGTTGGTGATGAAATAGTCCATTCCCTCAAAGTGTTTCCTCTGGAAGATCTTCTGCCACATTTGTTGTCACGTATGGTGTAAAAACTCCGTATCATCTCAAATGTCCATAGCTAGCTACTTAGCTCTTGCACAGTTCCCATGGATACGAGAAAAACAAGCAGTTCATTTAACACAATCCAACAGTCCCTTGTTTTCATTCCCTCAAAGGTTTTCCTCTGAAGATCTTTTGCTACATTTGCTGCCACAAAAAACTAAACAAAAAAAAAAACTTAGCAACCCAAATGTCCATAGCTAGCTCCTTCTGAAGCTTCCTATCTAGTCTCTTGCATAGTCTCCATGGATACAGGAAAAAGAAACAGCTCACTTCACAAAATCCAACAGTCCTTTACTTGTGTCCTTTGAACTGCACATGCTGCACTTCTTAGTTGGTTAAAATCCCATGAAGAGGATGTTAAAAATTGAGTATTAGACATCTTAAAATTGTCATTGGTTTAATGATTGGCTATCTGATAATTCTCTAAGACAACAACACAACAGCTTTAAAATGTTATCTTAGCTGAACTTACGTGTCAGACACTTTTCTGTAGTTGGACGGACAGTCAAAGGAGAGGCAGCGGTATCCCCCCTGAATATTGTAGCACGTCTCAGACAGAGAACAATTGTGGGTTCCAGTGGTGCACTCATCAATATCTAAACAATGATGAAAAATGATGTGGTAAAAGCTTTTCTATTGCAAGTAAGCACAAATGAAGAAAAAGTGAAAGTGAAGTATAATATTGGCCCATAAAATTTTATAGTGTAATCCCAGAGGCGCAGTAAAAGCATTTTTTAATATTGCAACTTGACAGTTTAAAACGTTTTAAAATCCATCACGCATAAAATTATTACCATTTTCTTATTGCTAGTGGCCATATTGTTACAGGACCTGCCTAAAATGTAGCCACACAGAACTTAATGAAGAGCAAAGTACTGCATCCACTTCTTCTCTCATTTCAATTGTAATATCTCTGTTGGATTAGATGCCACCTTTCCAAGTTTTAATAGTTACAGCTGGAGACACCCCTTATAATTGTGCACTAGGGTTTCCAAAAGTATTGAAAATGAGAAACTAATTGACACTAAAATTAGTATTGAAACTATATACTCATTTGAGCAAATATGAATTCTAAAAAGAGTCACATTAGCTTTAGAAACATCTTGAGCTGTTTCAGAACAAGTATAAGACCACAAACACTAGTATATACCCACGGACCATTATGGAAGGTCTGGATGACTTAGGGTTTACATGGATATAAGACCAGATGGTAATATAAAAGAAAATACTATGATTTAATGTTTAAAATTACATACTATCATCAGAATAAAGTTGTTTATTATCACTGTGGTATTGGAATTGTTACTGAGTATCAAGTCTATTCCCTGGTATCAAAATGAAGTTAGAACTTTAGTATCGTGGCATCAGTAATCTGCACTTTATGAAATGTTTGGACTTAGTTTTCTTGTCAACTCTTGTTAAACTCATTGAAATTCTTATGTCCAAATTTCCTGCTTATTTCTTCCTGATTTGAAGGTTTGGGCATCGCTCTGTTGTTGTAGTAATAATTAAATTCAAACCAAAATATTATATCTTTTAAATCAGGGGAGATCCTCATAAAATCCTTCAAATCAGGAAGAAATAATTTGCCTAAAACCCATAAAGAACACAAACTTTGATAAAAAATGTTCAATAACTGCCAGGTATAATGAGATAATGTGCTATTCGCTTTTCTGTATTCATAACAATGACTGAAAAACCAATAAGTTTGTGTAATGTGTACCTCTGCAGGAGCGTCCATTTGGAGACATGGTATATCCATATTCAGGACAGGCACACTGATAACTGCCCGCCACATTCACACACTTATAGGTGCACAAATGGCCAATGCTCTGCGAACACTCATCAATGTCTAAAAAAATGCATATCATAAAAACTTGTAAAACATGAATCAATATGGTTGAATTAATACAATATTACATACCATCACAGGAGTGTCCATCTTCTCTGAGGAAGTAGCCCTGGTTGCAGTAACACTGGTATGAGCCGTACAAGTTAGAGCACTCCTGACCACATGGGCTGGACAGACACTCATTCACATCTGAGGAAAAGAGTATACTGTAGACCTTCACTTGATATTCATTTGGTGCATGTTAAATTGCCAGTTTAATTTTGTTTTCCAGTCATTAAACTTAACAATGTGTCCTATTCAAATAAAGAGAGAGCGTGTTTAGGCTGAAATTGAAAGCTATTCTAACAGCACATCAATATGCTAATTGAATTTTGTATTATTATTATTATTATATAGGCCCATTCATAACACTGGGGTGAACGATATCATGTGATGTACATTTACATTAACAAATTTCAACTGTACAATACACAACAACGTATAAGTAAATAGTTAGAAAATAAGCTGAAGTGGCCATAACTTGTGTAATCCAACAAAATAATTAAGAAAATATTGTCATCCACATAATACATGACCTAACAAAGCCCTCAAATGCCCAAAAGATGCAAGCATGAGTTGTTTTGTCCGAGGCTAATAACAATTGCAGCATATTTCAGATTTTTCTTCCACTTCACCTCAGTTGATGTCAAACCCTGCTCCTACCAGCCCCACATACATAGATTCATGGTGAAGTGTATTTCCATGTGCATATTCCCAGAGCGTGCAGAGACTTGCAGTAGTACACATGGGTGCACTCCAGCTCTCACACCCACATATTCCGAAACAAGAGCGTAGAACTGTACCTTCGCAGTTCTTGGCGTCGCTGGATAAGCGGAAGCCCACAGCACAGGAACAGTGGTAGGACCCCGGGGTGTTCTCACAGGTCTGAGCACACAGACGGCCCGGGTAACGCCAGCACTCATTTATATCTGACAGGAAGCACAAGCACATCATCAGAGCATGGGCAACTGCATATGGCATTATAATGAATAAATAAATAAATTTTAATGTATATTCCATCACAAAATATATAAAAAATGCGTCCAGAAGATTAACTGGGTTTTATAATTCAGCATACATAGATCATAATGAATTCCTTTGTTCCAGTACTACCAATCACCCACTCACACCTCACATTCAGAGTGACAAGTTGGGTTAAGTGTCTTGCCGAAAGACACAACAGCAGTATGCAATATATTGGACAAAGTTAGATTTGCAGCACCAAGTTTTTTATGGTTATAAGATGACCTCCATACCATCTGAGCCAGTATCAACACTTTCCTTCCAGAATAAGCATAATATCAAGTGCCCAAGTTCTCAATCCGTTTCAGAAGCCCACAAGAGCTATAAGTTGGCTTTTGTCCCACATGTTGAAATTGCACTCCTGCTTTCCCTGCTTTTAAACATCATCTGAGGATATACCCAAATATAGCTGTTGCCATGATTGATACATATTCTCTATTGTAATATTAGCTCTGTTATGATGATGATTTTTTTTTTGAGGGTTATAATACTGATGAGCATTTATAAGTGGCTATTTAATGAAACCCATGTTTTGAAAATATGAACTGCATTTTTCTTTTTTTTTTTCTTTTTTTTTACATTAATGATGTAATGATGTCTGATGACACGAAAAATCTTTAAAGGTACATTGTGTAACTTTTCTGGTGAAGGGTCCACTGTCAAATGCTTTTCACTGTGGCGATGTTATGGCTTTGTCTGTATAGTATTAAACCTTGCTATCTTCAGGGAGACAAAGCCAGACCAAGTGACAGGTCAGATCTGTGTATGTATCAGATGTAACCCTACTCACAGTCATGTCAGATTTTCTAGGTATTTTTAACCAACCAGCAGCAATTTAATAAATATAAGGTAGAGCTGTTTAATGTTATACTGTGGAACATTCCTATCAGAGCAATGACATATCCATAGAAGCAAGCAGGTGATGGACCCATAACCAAAAAGCTGTATTGTGCACATTTAAATAGAATAAACTGTGTTGTATAAATAAAATGGATGTGGATTCGTACTACAGTTAAAAGAGCTTTCATATCCCTCAATAATATAATACAATGAGTCCATAGTAAAATTATTATGACACGTCAAAATATTCTGCCTGCTTAATGGCTTGTATGTGCACTAACTTAAGTTCCTTGTGTGCATGTTCACAGGCTAAATGGCGTAGATGGCTGGTGCCTGTGTAAACACTTGAGTGGAGTCCATTATAGGGGGTCACAGCACACTGCATCTTAAACAGCAGGGGGCAGCGCGATCATTCTGCAGCAGGAGACAAGAGGTACAACACTCAAAACAACTGCTCTGAATAGTAAACAGGAGTGTGGGTGGGAATATAGTTAAGCAAGAGACACTGTGATATGAATAATGGAAGAGGTCAAAGCAAAGAACCACAATTCTGGAAAAAAAAATGTGCGACCTGTTCTTCATTTGTCATGCTTAAAATCTCCTTTTTGGGATGTTTCAGCCAACAGAAAAATAGCCAATATGTTGTAAAACGCAGTACTTGTGACAAAATCAGACCCCTGGATGCTGTCTACACCTAATAATTCAATATTTTATTCATCAATCAAAAAAACAAAAGAAAGTGTAGTCCAAAAGAGCAATAATAGTACTCGCCTGCTTTAGTTCTTTGCCTGAAGAAAATGCTATAATGCTTTGCACATGCACAAAAATTGATTCATGTGAGATTGTGCCAAATGGTTTGCGCAAGCTAGAGACTAGTCAGACAAATATAAATACCTACTTCCTCTTTCCTTGTTTGAAATTGGGTAATACCTTTAAATGGCATAATATCATATTTTAATTTTTTTCTATGTATTTTATTTTTAGGCCATTGAAGGATGATCTTACTCCTGTATAGTACACATACCTACACACATCCTCCTGAATGAGTCATACTGGTAGCCCGTCTGGCATTCACAGCGATAAGAGCCGGCCATATTGTGACAGAGTTGACCCTCACCACATCTGTGCAGGCCACTCTGACACTCATCCACATCTACAAGAAAAGGCCGGAGGTTAGATAAACAAACAAGTACAAGATCTATGCAGCGATAGTCTTGGTCTGTTATGTGTGATAGAATGATTTGCTTTGATACGAGTGGCTCAATCAAAAGGTGTGAAATGAGAAAAATCAACCAGCGTCAGTCTTCTTGTTTGCATATAGGTTATTTCTTTAATTAAATATTGAAGACTACTTTAGAAAAAACTGATTCACACGTGTTTATTTTGCCATGGATAATTCAGAAAAGGTCAGCAATGGGCCAAGAAAAGGCTTTGTGGTGTGAAGCCTGTTAAGACCTAGGAATGCATTAAGACTTATTAATAACATCAATTTCAGTCTTTCTTTAAGTGTAATTTCTCAATATGGAATAAGGTAAACTAACATCTACTATACATATAATCTTATGAAAATATGAAAACAGAAATTTTAACATTTGGATTAAAAAAATAAATACAATTGTGTTTAAACAATTTGCAGGGACCCATCACTTCTAATCTAACCCACAATCCTGATGAAGAGCGCATATTAAGAGGAACAGTCTATTGTATATGATTGATGGGAAAACCAAGAGAAAGGCCATGTATTAAAGAACCAGTAATCTCTACACAGAAATGTCCCAATATATAGAGATATTGAAAAGGCATTGTAGAGATTTGAGTTCCCATCTATATTGTTTTTACCAAAGCAAGCACAGGCATAGGAATTGACGATGCCATCAAATTCTTGTTTCTTGTTCATAAACTTCTTACAATACATCGTTGGCACAATCCTGTATTTGTTTCGTCGCATATATCTTACCAATGCATCTCGAACCATCTGGACTGGAGTGATAGCCACGACTGCAGATAATCTTTCTATTGCACACATAGGACCCCACTGTGTTGATGCAGTTGAAGCTGGGACCACATGGCTGGCTCAAAGAACACTCATCAACATCTTTAAAAGAGCACATAAAAATCTATTTTGAAATTAAAACAGAGGAAGAGGGTGCGGTTTAAAAGCATGGCATGAGCTACTACAGGGCAATTCCTTCAATACAAATCAAAGCATACAGACACGTTCCCTCAGTTAACTTTGTTGTGTGACATTTTCTCATTTCTCCGAGCGCTTCTCTTGCTCTCCTCTTTACAGTGCTCAGGCTGCCTCGACATGCCTCAGTTCCTGCCCCTGGAGGCTAATTCCAGTGCATAGGTTTGTACTGAAGGAGGACAGAGCATTGACTTTCATCCACCCCTCACGGCCCCCGACAGCCCCGCTCTGATCTACTGTCTGTGTGGCATTTAACCCCACTGACACGGCTGCAGAGGCAGGAAATACTCAGTTGTATTTACTTGAGTACATTTACTTATTTCAAGAATTTGTTTGTCAGAGTAGTTTTCAGACACCATACTTTTTGTGTAACATCACTGTCACTTTAACTGATTATACTTTTGCTTATGTAATAATATTTTGGAGTAATTGCACTCTTACTTTTAGTCAATAATAGTTTTAATCTTGAAGTTAGATTGGTGATAATATGTAAATAGACTACTCAAGAACCAGAACACTTCACATACGAATCCTGATTTATTTTTTCCTAAAAAAAAAAAAAAAAAAAAAAAAAAAAAAAAAAAGAAAAAGCCGGGTACAAGAGTAAATCTTGAAAAATCTCAATAATCATATAATTTATCAACACTTAACTCAGGTTCAGGTTTAAGTGGTTACAAAATAACAACATAACTAAACTCCAGTATACTTACATGTGCATGGATTTAGTAAATGTAAATACGAAGTATCATCTCTTGTGCAATGTGGACAGTAAAGTATAAATAATTCCATGTGAAAGTGGAGCGAGTGGAACCCAGTCTGTTTGTTTTATTTAAACTCTAATGCTATAATCACACCTTATTGTACAGGAGTGACGTTTTGTGGTTATTTTTTGTACTAGGCATGTATTGATTTGCCCCAATTAAATAACTTATTGTTATCATTTCTCGTGGGATTTTTGTCAGTGATCTACAAAGGTTTTTTAAAGGCAAATGTTTAAAAATAAAAGTAAAACAAAATGCATAAATATGGCTGTAACAAAAACGATTTGGTCATAAAAGGAGGAATGTTGGTGTCATTCTGATTAATTTGTGTATTCATTGACTTATTTTTGCTTGCAAGTCTACTTAAAGAAAAAAAATATTAAACACAAATGCAAAACTTTTAATGCAGTGAGTACAATATTACCTGCACATTTTCCATTCAAGTCTCTGCTTAAGCCAGTGGCACAGCGAGGTTTGGGGTTGCACCTGAATGAGCCCATTGTGTTCACACAGTCAAAGTCAGGACCACAGTTATGGCTCCCCTGGACACACTCATTTAAATCTGAAAGAAAACAGGTCAAATTATTCAAAATGCATAATACCAAAAATCCACCACAGGATGGCACTGTGGTTCAACAGCTTACCTTCCATTCAATATTCACAGCTGTTACTTCAATCTAGCCATTTTAAAGATATTAATTGATTATATTACCTGATTAAACTTGAGACCTATTGCTGATTTTTTACAAAAACAGTGATAGTTAGATGCATAGTTAGCTTTTAATGAAATTTAGGCAAAATCAATTATAAAGTTGATCACATGTAGGACATATGCTCAATGTGCTCTAACACTTTGTCTTTACTTTAAAATATTAGATATAGTTTGACAGATTTCTGTTCTCAGATCTTTAATTACAGAACATCGGCTCTTCATGGCAGGTTGCCCTAAAGACAAAGTATAGCAGTTTAGGAAGTGCACAGTGATTTAGCCTCCTACTCCTGACACAGCCTTGGCACAGCCGGCCTGAAGAGGAAAAGGAGATGGAGAGAGGAGACTGGAGCTGACCTCTCTCACTCACTCAGGAGTCACACAGTTCACCTGCTCAATGCAACTATTCACCCTTAAACCTAAAACATTCTTTCACTCTGTTACTCTGGAAAATCAAAGAATCAGTGCAGAAAGTTCCTGCTACTTTAAAACAAATATCCATTCATCTAAATAAAACTTTTGAACGTTTAATGTGCTTTACAGTGTGTGCTGCACTGTACTAATTACTCAGTTACTCCATAATTGGTGGTGGTAAGCTAATTGTATAGCCCCCTCAGACCATCATCACCTATCACTTGCTCACATACTACATTCTTTAAAGGCAAGGTGGGTGAAGAGCCTTGCCTAAGGACACAACACTGGTTTGTGTTGAGTAGAATTTGAGCAGTACCAATAGCTCAAATACTACTACTACTACTACTACTACTACTACTACTACTACTACTACTACTACTACTATAATAATATAATAATAATAATAATAATAATAATCTTTTTTTTAATTAACAATAGTTGTCATTTTAACATCTGTTACCAAGCTTCAAATGTTTTTTGTTAGTTTTGCAATCAAAATACAGATTTTCCTTGAATGAAGAAAGTTAGAGAGGATATTCTGAGGATGGAGGAAAGCGGTTAATTAGTCCCTCTTCACCTTCTTCAATTATGGTAAAGTAAAAACTAAACTGATACTCTCTCTCTTCCACTTTTCTTTTGTGCACATGGCCTGAAGTGGGAGCTGTTTGGACACTCACCATTGAACCACACTGTGATGTGAAGTGCTTTTGCCTGATTAAACATCCTTCCAGTTCAGAATGAGCACAAGAGAAGACTATCCTCCATAAGAGCTTAATGTGTCTAGTGGCAATGGTACTAACAACACACTGAACCCAACATCTGAAGTGGACCATCAGCCTCAACACTGCCAAAGCCTCAAGCAAGTTTATGGAGCACAGAAACAAGGAATTGTATCTGGGAGATTTAAAGTTGGGCTACAATTTAAAGGAGAATTGTCTGAAGCTAGTGCTAGATCAGAATAGGAATTTGTATGGAGCAACATGTGGTGAAAGGTCCATATAAAGTGCAGTTGATGTTTCTTCCTGTTCACACATCTTGCTCCAGCGGATTCAAAACTATTACTCCAGTTATATCTGGAATGAGCTTAGTTATGGTTCTTCTGTAGTAAAGCCTACATTTCACTGGGCAAATATAAGTTAATGTCTTAGTTAGAAGAAACTATTAGTCAAACCATTAGAAAAGAAGATAACATTTAAATGTGCATTATGAGACCTTTCTGGTTGAGGGTCACCTATTTGTCTCTATGGAGATGATGTCTGACCTATATTTTGATGCCATTGACCTGTGATTTTCATTGGAAACAAATATTTTTAATGCCATACTGTGGAACGTTCCAGGCCAAGCTATTATTACATCTCCTTGGAGACAAAGCAGGTGGTGGACCCCCCCAACAAAACAGTTATACAGTGCACTTTTAATAAATCTGTTTAAAATGTTAATGACCTTGATGATGAAAACGCAAATTTCTAATGATAACATTTTATATACTTGTCACAAAAAGACATGCCCTGTAATATTTTCTACAGTCAGCCTACATTTTGAAATATGTTTTGTCTCCAATATTACAGTATCATTCAAAAAAACACAAGGAGGAAATGCACACTCATATCAAGACAAGTCTATAATGTAGCAGTGCCACAGATGCGGCAGGTGGACCTACCCTCACACATGTTGTTGTGGATGTGGTATCCTGTGGGACACGTGATGAGCTGCTGACAGATGTAACTCCCTGCAGTATTCACACAGCGCTCATTCAGCTGGCAGGCCTGCGCCGACAGGCATTCATTTATGTCTATGGGCCAAACAAGGGCACAGACAACGAAAAGGATGTTCAGAAATGTGCTATAAAAACAATTTGAGAATTAGGGATGCAACAAGACATAATAATACAAGATATGACACAAGGTTTGGGTCCAAGAGAACAAGACAAGAAGCTGACAGAATTAGCATTAAAAATGCAGTCAAGGTCACCATTTTGGCCACACATTTTCAATTCATTCTATTTCATATTTTTGCTGTCAATGTTGGAACTCTTTTTGGAACTCAAGCTTCTCAGCAAAGTTTGCTTGATTTGTTTTATTTACTTTTGTCCAAGGCAAATGTAAACACATAATTCCTTTCCTTTAAACACAAACAAAATATGGTAAAAAATGATCCAAATTAGTTTTGTAACTACTGAACAGCTTTATACAAAACAATATTATGAGACATATAGGGCCAACATTGGCTAGTAAATCATCTTATTACACCAATTTATAGACCAAAATGGGATATTAGCTGACCCAGTATCTCGAGAGTAGATAACTGGTATACCAAAATGCTCAATATGTGCACCTATATTTGATACAAGTATCAGATTGGTACATCCCTGGTTTTATTAGTATATTTTTTTTCTGATTTGTTTTGTTTGGTAGTACTTTATTGTTCCTAGAGGGAAATTGTCCTCTGCATTTCACCGATCCTTTCAGGAGCAATGGGCAGCACATCGGGCGCCTGCAGACCCATCTCCATGATCACGTTGCTAGGCTTGGTCAGGACTACCCTACTTGGAGGATTTTTACCTGTCTATGGTGTATGTTTTTGGGTTGATGGGAGAAACTGGAGTGCCACCCAGACATGGTGAGAACATGCAAAATCGACATAGAACATTCTTGCTGTGAAGCATGAGTGCTAGTCACTCAGTCACTGTGCTGCCAAATTAATTTCCCTATGGGGACAATAAAGTAATACATAAAGTAATAAATTATTATATAGTATTAAGCAATAATAGTTATCTCATATGTTGAAACAGTCTTGGCATTCAATCACTGTCATCCCAGGGTTAATGCTAACAAAATACTTAAACTCTCTATTTTGATTTAAACTTTTTCCTTAACATTTACCAAAAAACTATAACGATAAAATGTCGTTGCTTTGGAACATATAAAGTGGTTATTGCTATTCCCCTATTGGGACTGCTTCGACATATAGGCCATTGGGCGCATAAACCAAAGAAAAACACATCCACAGACTACTGCTTTGATAGCTTTAGAAATAAAGGGTGTATATGGTATGTAGTCAGAGAGATAAAGTGTGATAATGCATGGATAGTTGGGATAATCCTTTTGGAGAGACTCAGTTTAGCCCAGAGATAAAAGAATGTCCCTGATTTAGTATTTTGTCTGGGTAGTGTGTGTTATGGAGAGTGAAGGGGATTAGGCCTGTATCTGCTCTATGGATCTGAAAGCAGTGATGAGAGGGAAAAGACAAGCTATTGGATGGTCTATGTGCCAACATACAGATACGCAACTGAACTATGACGATGATTACAATGCAAAATTTGACACTTAGTATGCATGTTAAAGGTACAATATGTAACTTAGTGGAGGTTTTTGCTTGCTTGTCTCCATGATACATATTATATGGATATGATATCTGTGGCAAGTGTGAAAGTTGTCATATAAATTGCTGTAACTTATTGAACATGCATGCAAAACAACCTTCACAGGCGATTCCATTGGTTGCCAGAGCAAAACCAGTGAAACAGGAGCACTGAGGCTGTCCGCCCACCGGAGTGCACTGTTGTTCACAGGGGTTGTTTTCTGAAAGTACACAATTACACATATCATTGAAAATTGCTTAAACTGCTTATAGAGTGATTTACAGTGGTGGAGTTTTCACTTTTTAATAATATCCCTTTCTTCCCTTCACCAGCCCATAGTATTGTGTTTCCTTCATTTATTCAACTCTTTGCAGGACCTCCACCCACTGCCATGGCAACCAAACAAGAGAAACAGAATGCAATGCTGCTCAGCTATAACTTCTAATAATGGCTGCTTTATGCTAAAAACAGACTAACCTTTGATACAATCTAACCGTATGTTTCTCTGACATTTGCTGCCCTGCTATATTTCACGGTAAATTTCAAATAGTAACATGTCAGCTTATGGCCCGGCCCTTTTCTAAACACACTGACAACATAAAGACAAATGTTCCAGCTCATGATTGAGACATGTGTGAATGAAAGTGTTCTTTGTTGGCTGCTGTGACTGGACTTCCCATGTTTTTAATTAAACAAGAATGGCCAATGTGTTTTACTTGGAGAGGAGCAAACCAGTGTAGCAATCTAATAGTTTATTGTATCACCCTGCTTAGCTGCTCAATATTGGCTAAGAGGGAAAGTCTGTCTATACGCTATAAATAACTCAAACATGTGGAAAGATAGTTAACATGAACCATCTTAATGCAAGAAGTGATTTAAGCAGTTTAACATGTTTGCAACTAGCAAGGGTTGTCAGTGCAATGCAACTAAAGCTATTATTACTGTGTACAATATAAACAAGTTGTAATTACGACAATAGATGATAAATTGTGTGTGTCGAAGAAAGACAGTAAAATTTGCATCAGATTTAAAAGTGCACTGTGTGACTTTGTGGTGGGGGGTCTGTGGCCTACTTGTCTGTATTGAGATGTTAAGGCATTTTCTAGAAAGTTCTTTTCATGGAGGTAGCAGATCTGTGAAGAAGGAACGCATCTCATTGTAACAAAAACACCTAACTGAATAAATGCAGGGTAGGTAAGTTTAATGCCATACATCTCCATGGAGACAAGCAGGTAGGGGAGGATCCAAAAGAAAAGTGTAATGCTGCAGTTTTAAAATGATTTTGCGTTAATTATAGCATATAATTTTGGGGGTCAAAATTCAACATATGTGAGTAAGACTTTGGTAAAATTGTCATAGAAAAGGATTTAATTGGCACAAACCTTCACATGGGTTTGGGACAGAGGGCTCGATGAGTGGTTGGGTTACCGTCAGCTCTCTCTCATGCTCCTTCAGTCTGTTCTGATCTTGTATAGTCTCTGCAAAAGCATAAAGTTATTACACTGTAATCAAAACTCCATGTACTTGAAGGCACGAGCAATTCCTACATTTCCACGTTTTTGAGGTTGAGATTAAATAAAAGCTGTAAGACAGACAGGAAAATGTGTCGCCTGCAGTCAAAACATTTAGTTTTATTAGTGAATCTCATCCTCCACTGCAATTTGGGTCTTGTTGAGGCAGGTTGGTGAAAGCCTACAGAAGCAGAAAATCCATGAATCTTTACTTGTACACACTTGACATTCAAATTGCATAATAACAAAAATAATAATAATAATTGTTACTTTTTGCAGAACGTATGCTATTTTTACACACAGAATTTATAATTTACAAACAGGCTGAGATAAATCATAGAAGCCTAGGGGCAGACTAGCTAAGGAGTGTCAACCACTTTTGGGACACTTTGTGTCAGTAGTAGCTATACCATGCAGACCACCACCAACACAATAATCTATCAAATTCATACAGGTTAAGTGGGACACAACAGTATGAACTGAGGAGACCGAACTCATTGCATATATACATAACTATGTGTTACTTTTATGCTATTTTATGCACATACATGACTATATATCACACAAAATTGACTCTTGTGATCTTTTAGCTATGTTTGAATGTTGACCCATCAAAAACATACCTGGACTTCATTCACACATGCTTGTGATAGTTTTCAAGTTAACAGCTACTACAAATTACTCTAATGAAAATGTATGGACTTTAAAAACAGAGTAGAGCTCTTCCTTTACGACATCACAAGGTGAAACTATTGAGTGTTTTTCGCTTGAGAGAAGAACTCACCCGAAATATGCAGGATTTTTTTGATGATGAGTTTGATCATGAGGAAACAACATTATAACATATATAAGAATAAATAGCATAAAATGGGACTTTAATTGTCAGTGGTCTCATCTGCCTTGGGACAAACTGATGTAAACATGACAGTCAAGAACAAAACTACAAAATATCATTTCTCTTCTATTTTTCCAAATACTAAAAGGAAGTGAATTGAGTGAAGTGTTCTGCACAATGACACAACTTTTGATTTGAACCCTCAACTTTTGTTGGGTGTCTACTGCAGCCTCCCAAACTCCTGCCCTTTGAGAATTTCTGTCACTGCAGGAAAGGGATGTCAGTGCACAATTAGAAAAACTATTATTAGTCAGTATCAGGGCTTGCAGGCAGGAAGGAAGTCACTTTGGAGGACCGCTGAAATAATATACTTTTATTTATGGTCTACACTATTACAGCTAATATGGAAAGACCTCTCAGCAATGGAGAGTAAATGTGCCTTAAATGGCCAAAGTGGGCAGGGAACACTTCAGTTTTTTGTAATGAATGTGTTTAAACATGTGTGGTGGTGTAGGGCTGTAGTTTAAACATTTTGTCAATTAATTTCTTTTGGATTGTAAGGATTTGTATGGACCATGCAACAAAGAGTAACTGGAGAGTTTAAAGGTGCTATATTAAACATCATGAATTGACTCGTGAGCTTTACACCAAGTTACCTCCTCAAAAACACACCTGGAGTTGTGTTTTCTTTCATTCACAGTCACATGTCTGAGTAAATCTTTATTATTAGTTTGTCTACATCTCCAAAGCTCAAAACACTCTGTTCCACCTTGTGATGTCATGAAAAGGTATTTTTCAAGGTAACAACCTTTTGTTCAGTAGAGATTGGCAATTCCAGGTCGGAAGTTATTCAAATGATTCTAGTTAAGGTGTATGGAATTTAAACATAGTGGAGCACTTCCTGTATTACCACATGGCATCATGAGAAAGAACTGTGTGAATGAAACAACACGCAACTCCAAAATAATAAAATAAATTAAAAAATGTCATTAGCTTTTGCCTATAGGACATGTCATTAGTCGCTAATGTGGTGTGGTGAGTTAAGTATTCACACACCATCCAGAGGGTGAGAGGTTCAAAGAGCAACTGTGAAGCATCTGTTGTAAAACCTGCCAATAACTATGCAACTGGTACACTTACTCCAAGCCAAATGATTACAGTAATAATTTTAAAAAAGCAATATGAATTTAGTTGGTTTTGACTGTTACCTATAGCACAGGTGAAGGCATCATCCTGTAGCGTATATCCGGGTAAACACTCGCAGCGAAAGGAGCCCAGTGTGTTGACACATTTGTGATCACAGATCCTTCCTTCGTAGATCAGGCACTCGTCCATGTCCTCCACCTCCACAGGACTCTCCACCGTGTTCTCACCCTCCTGCCCCAGAGAGAAGGCCTCTTGGGGGAATGCCGGACTGTCAGACACTACATCATAACAAACAGTAAGGGGTTACTTTGGGTGATAGCATGCATAGTAAGTTTTTATAAGTAAGATAAGGAACTGAACACTTTTGTACTTTTTCATTAATAATTTATTCAAAGGAAATATGTAGCTTCCCCCTAGTTTACCCCAGCAGAAACCAACCCAACAAAGTCTTCACATCAGTATAACATTCCATAACAAGGAATGATACCTTTGTTCTATTGTATTGTATTAGCAGAAACACTAGTATTACAAAGTATTTTCTGGACTTAAATACAAAGAGGTAGTAATATATTTTCTGAGGAACCATCAGTCATCGACTTTTTGTACACGTCTTTAGTGTCTCATCTTGAGTGAGAAAGAGAACTTTTGTTCAAAAGGTCAATGCAATTATCCTACTATAATATGCCCAACATGGCACCAGTTCAAAAAGCAGTGGGTCTTAAGTGTCTGCGTAACACAATAGGACACAGCAGAGAGGCAGTATATCTTTAAAAAATATAGTTGTGGCTTAAGCTTCTGGGTGGCAAACGAGGACTGCAGCCTCTCAGCGTGGCAGTGAAACCTTAATACAATCCTCCCTGTGGGCAGTAAAGCTCGGGTATAAATCTCCCCTTCCCCTTGGCTCTGCTCAGGTGTCTGCAGTGCGCTTTGTGTAGCAGTGTTTTACCTCTTTTGGGCGGCACAGTGGGGTCTAAAGCAGGTCTTTCTCTGACCGGGTGCCAGGCGTTACGACCCTCGTCCCCCTCCCCCTCGTCCCCCTCACAGCAGGTCATGAATATGTGTCTGCAGTGGAAGCCCAGAGAGGGGTGGGCTTCACAGTTCAAACCCTCTGCGCGGAAATGCAGGCCCAGAGAGCAGCAGCCGCAGCACTCCTGTAAACCACACACAGTATAATAAATATACAACAACCACCTGCCTGTCTCCATGGAGATGTTATTGCTTTGCTTGGAATATTCGACAATATGGTATTTAAGTTTTCTATTTTGCATTTCTTTTCTGCAAGTGTTTTTATCCATCAAAAATAGCATGGGCAGGATCGCCTCTCCACAGATATGACTTTGCAACTTGGCCAGGTGACTCCATGGTATACTCCATTGTATCTGTGTTATCTGCCTTTACAAGTGCATTTATCCACTGTGACTTTAATAAAGTTCTAACTTATTCTGACAAACAAAATATATTTTTCAGTAAGATGTAGATACGTAGCCTATACCTCTTAATTTACTTGTTTTTTTAGGTAACTTAAGCAAAATATCACTATCACTAATATCATATCATCCTACATATCACTCAAAAAACAGGAATGTTTGAAAAACAGGTACAACAGGATTTTGAATATTAGCATAATATTATGGCAATGAAAGGTAGTATTAAACATTTTGCTGTTGTTCTCAAAATATTATGATAAGTCAAATCACATACAAAGAAGATGTAATAAACTAATAAAAAGTGATTCTAAGCCAATAGGAACACTGCAGAACCAGAAACACTGTACTGATTTTTTATTAGCCTACTAATGAACTGAGGAGATTTTTAATTAAATCTCATCAGCTGCAACTGACCATTTGTTCTTGACTCATATGTAGAGAAAGTCCAATACCTACAAGACTGTGGGAATGTCGGAGTAACTGGCTTTGACATATTCTATCCTAACAAAATTAAGTAATCCAATAAGACTGAACTGGTGCTTCGAGAGGTCTCTTTCTAGATGTTTGAGAACAAAGTTATTCCAGTGTTAGGCCATCTGAGGACCACTGCACATGTTTTAAATTCTACTGTGACTGATGTGATTGTAAATTGTTAATTTGGGATGAATTAGAGTTTAATTTGAATTTTACAAGGTCATTAAATTTGACTGTGAACCCCAGTGAACTATGAGTGGCCTTTCTGTGGTGGATACTGGCCTTGAAAGAATTGATTGCACATTTATCAGTGGAGTCCTTTTCACATGAGGCTCCAGCCGTGGCTGCCTTCAGTCCGGACAGACACTGCTGTTCTCGGAGGGAGCCCAGGCAGCACTGCTGTTGGGATGTCCTGGCACAGAAGAGACAGAGGAACAATACAGAGGACAAATGATTTGGACGGGTACCATAGCACTGTAGCAACAAGTGGGATCATTAATCATGGCTTTCAGAACAGCCATTAGAAAGCATGCGGTCATTAACAGCACTCAAAGTGAGAACAGAACATTGTGTGAAATGCAAATAAAAACAGAAAGAATTAAAGAGTGATCCCCACCAATCACATAGTTGAAATATATAATGTAAGAAGTTGTCTGCTTGTGTCCATAAGGCATAAGCCAAATACATTCCAGACAGTGCCCTCTCTGCTGTGTGGTGCTAAGTGGCTTTTTAAGGCTGCTTGTAACAAGTTTAAACTTTATAGCAGCAATAAGTCTAAAACATTTGGGACAGAATAGGTCAACTTGGAATAGTTTAAGTGTCTGGCATATTCAGAATGATAACTCTCTGTATGTTTTTTTTCAAAGGGATATTGGTCTGGTCACCACACCCTCCATCACGTCTCAAGCCAGAACCAGACGTGTTCGTGCAATCAGATTCGTTTTTTTTTTGTTTTTTTTTTTCAGTGGCCAGACACACATCTTTGTACAATATTGAAGAAGTGTGTATTCTGGATTTCATTCCATTGCAGTGTTCAACATTTTGTCAACTATATTGAATAACAAGCCAAAAAGATACATTAGTAACCGTGACAAAACAGTCTGCAGGTAAAATAATCTGTCTATAAAATAAATTAGTTGGTTATATTGCCAAAGAAAATGTTATTATGTCAACTAGACAAAAGTTTTTTTTTTGTTTTTTGGGGGGCTTTTTTGTTTTGCTTTTTTATGACTGAATACGTTTAGCTTCTTCAGTTCAGACATCATTCTGAAAGTCACTGCCTTGAATATATTTATAAGGTAAAAGAGTGACTGCTAAAGAGGGAGGGGAAAATGCTATTGTCTAATTGTTTGGAGGGTCCTTTTTTAGTATCAAAATTGGGTTTGAAATTCATCACCATGACAACACAAACATACACAGACCTCTACATTTAAACAGTGTTGTGACTGCACTGGATGTAATGATGATGATGATGATGATGATGCATTGGGCGCTTAATGCACACTCACCAGCAGATGGAGTGGCGGTCTAGAGTGGGAGGCTCCATGCTGTTACAATGTCCTTTCATTGAGGCCCATTTCTCTCCAGTCTCACAGCAGCTCCTCAGCAGCTCCTCAGAAGACACTGAGGAAGACACAATACTGTCTTAGAGCAAATTATGTAGATAAGCCACCTCATGTGAATGGACTTCTCAATGCCAATAGGCCACACTATTACTGTTGTCACAAAACTCTAATTTCAGACTCATTTTTGATGCTAGGGATTTTTGCAGTTTTAATACAATAGAATGTATTATCTAGTTTCAGTACTAATTTCAGTATTGATTAGTATCTGAGTATACATTTTTGATAAAACTCCTACACATGAGCAAAATTGTCTCAACTGCAGTGCATTTAGATTACATAATATCCTCAACTTAATTCTTTCCTCTAGCAAATCAGCAGAAACATATTCAAAGAAAGATTAATATTGTGCATGACTAATATATTTTCTATTTATTTATTGTTGTTGCCATAGCTGCACTGTGAAAAAACACCAAAAACATGGCTACTGTTATGCACCAATGGCTTATCCAAACACCACCAATTGTTCAATCAAACAGAACATTTATTCTTAGCAAAGGAGATGACGTTTTTACCCATGGACACAACATTATGCATGGCAACGGGGATAGAACCACCAGCCTTAGTTTTAGTGGCCAAGCACCTCCAAATTATCTTGTTATTGTTCAACTAATTAAAGCCAATTTTCCTGTTTGATTAGTGGTGGCAAATGATCAGAGCCAGACTTTTTGCAACCAAATTTTAAAATAGGTCAGACAGGGGTGAGATGAAACACTGTTAATCTAGTTTACAGGGAAATACTTCCTTCAATAACAGGCCAGTACATTCCTGCTCTGATTTGTGTCCACTGCTCATGTCTCTTCAGGGATAATGACATATAGAAAAAAAAAAACATGCCTACAGATCAGAGGACTAATTATACTGTTGCATGTACTTCATTGTTCATGATAGTACCTCTTACTAACTTCCCTAAACAAAAGAAAACAAGCTGCCATAGCCTCCATAATTTAAAGGCATGAGAAAAAGCGAAACCCGGACAGGCACAATGGGTCTTTGATATGTCTAACTACAGTATCTGCCAGTCTCTTTGAACTGCCAGGAACTATATTAAAGGATAGGCAGAGTAATTATTCATCATATCTTCGTCCTAGTCATTTTCTACATCTGCGATCTTCTTCTGTATAAAAACATAAATGTGATCTGTGTATAGATGTAAAGAGATGTAGGCCTACTGGTCTAAATAAACATTCATTTTGTCCCTTTGTTGGTTTGGTTCATATTTTCAACTACTACCATAGAAGTATTTCTTAGTTTTCTTAGTCTTGAGCAATTGGGCAGGTGGAGAAGGTTCTCAAAGACAGCACTCATGTTACCTAAAAATTAGGTAGACAGAAAAGGGCAGATACACAAGTAATCACAAATATTTTGAAGGCAAGTGGAGAGTAACTGTAGGAGAAATTTCAACTCATCAATTATTGAAAATGTCAACTAATAATAGAATAACCATTATCTGCAATATACATAGTGGAGTATGTTGAGTAAAGAGATTAAATTACACCATAAACTTAACTAAAAAGGAATGCTTTAAATGAAAAGCCTATTTTGTTTAGTGCTATTATTTATCAAATGGCATCACTTCACCTGGGTCATATTCTCTGAACTTTTGCATTTTAAAAAACTTATTAAGAAATACCTGTTTATTCAATAAAGCAAAATAATATTTTTTTGTTACAGGTAAATTTTTTTTTATTAATTTAGGAACTTCTGAAATATACTGGTAAATACATATTTTTTACATAAATTTACAGTAAGAGAACTTCAGATATTTACTTAAGTCGACAAATACTTGCAGCCGAAAGTACTAAAAGCACCTTTGTAGAACTTCAACAAAAATATTATTTAGACTAGACAAATTTCCTTGAATCCAAGTATTACCAGGAGGTGCATTTCCCACCAAAATGGAGGAATTTGCCTCCAATATCCAGTTACATTCACCACTGTGACTCCCTCGACAGGAGCTTAAAAGGTACACATTTTTTTCAGTGCTCCTCTGTAATCATATATGTCTATTATCCTGGCATTAACACCAGATGGTTTTCTCTTGTCCAAATGCAAAACACTGACATCATATCCTTTAAAAATATAAAATAACAAAGTTTTAAAATGGGGGCAATTCTCAACATGTCCAGAGGTGTTGGGGAGGCTGGTGCTATCTTCTCCTTTGTGGCTGTGATTTACAATACAGGTGGGTCTGGAGGCACTAGGTCTACTATGGGTCACTACACATACAAACTCAAGCAGCCAGTGTTGACAGATGATTAATGCAACAGGCTTAAAGAAATAGCGTACATGCTCCAGTCTGTTTGCCCCTCTGTGTAAAAGAAATCTAAGCAATGTTCCTCGCACCTTCACTGTGAACTTACTCAGATAGTGTGTCTTTTGCAATCACGGTCCAAAAACAGCTGGCCATGACATAACACAGAAAGGGATTTTCTCTATCAAAACTATGACATCCAACCCACCAGGGCGAAAACAAAGATAATTCATTTTAATTAAAGAAAGATTTTTGGTCAATTGTTGGGGACCAAGAAACGTGATCCATGCCTAGTTTGAACTTGTTTTAGTTCAGCTCAGTCCGTTGATAGTTTAGTGGTAACATCTGAAATAATGGGTTTCTTTGTGGTTACTTAAATGTGGTTGGAAAGATCAAGTTGGAACACAATATACAATTGTCAAAACTTGTGTATTGGATTAGTAGGTTTGTAACTGGAGGTTACATAGGTGCCATCATTCACATACAAAAACTGATCTTTTTACAACATTGCTATTATGATTAGCTTGAAATTCAAGTATTAAGTAAAGTTGTATCTGCAGGGAAATTTGTCGAATACATTTGAGCCAACCTTTAATGCCACTGAAGCAACCTGTCAGGAGCAATAAAAACCGGCAGTCTTCCAGATCTTATGCTACGTTTTATTCCTCTTATTCCTCATTTCACTACGGCATAATCTTCAAATTCATTAGATACAAGTTTCAAGGCCAAATTGATGTAGGCTTCTTAATTTATATATTATAAGTGATCTAATCTATTTATAGATTTTTAGATGCACTATTTTAAATAAGCTATTAAATGCAGTACTTGTCTAGACTCAGACTGACATAAAAATGTCTGACCTTCCATGGCAGAATTAATACTTGTTTGCACTAATATCACAGACACATTAAGCACATTTGTGTGTTGTGACAAAATCAACAATAGGAGTGCAATACAAAGTGCTCCCTGAGGAGAAAAGTCAATCTTCATTGGACTCTCACATAATAAATAGTCTTATATTCCCCTGCACACCTGTGACCAGCTCTTTCCACAGCCCTTAATATGAACCTGTTTCCATTGCCTCATTATCTACACTAATATATTGTACTTGGTGTTGAGTGTCACAAACCACCAGTTTCTGCCAGAGATGAAAATCTGTCCAAATCCAGATTTTGGACTTGATGAACACAAATAGCATTGAATCCACTCTAGCCTCTTATTTGGCAGAAAGTATTTGGTTCATTAGAACTGACTGTTTTCAATGGAACAAACTGATTCCACAGACAAAGCACATTTTGTATACCAAGCAAAGTTGCCGTGGTCTTATTCTTTCATTTTCTGCACCCAATTGCCTCTTATAGCATGTAAGTAGATAACAGTAGTTTTTATGCTAGATATCCTTCCATTCTTACGTTGAGTGCTAGAGCAATGCAAACTAACTGTGGTTCTCAATCAATATCCAGATACTCCTTGATACATTATACATTATAATAACAACTATCAACCCTGAAAAACATAATCACACAAATGTTTTCTTTTTCTGTTTTAGAATGGTCAGGATCAATATCAATATGGGGTACAAGACCCCCGGTGTCATATAGCAGTGATTCACAAAGTGGGGTGTGGGCCTCCCTAGAGGCCTCGGAGGCACAGCGGGGGCCCCCAAAGATCGTCCAGACAACAAGCATAAAAGAACATTTAGTTTGAAATAAACTTTACATCATGTATTTGCTTCAATTACTACTTTAAGTATTAAGTACCTTATTAAGTCCATAGACATTTTGATATGTACTGTTAATTAAAAAAAAGTATGCATTATTATCAGGGGGCCCTGTATTTTTTGGATAAATAGAGGGGCCGCAGCTCTACAGACTTTGGGAACCACTGCTCTAGTCTATACCCAATAAGCAATACTTTATTCTGTCTTAAAGTTTTGATACCAGAGAGCTGGAGGCTGGAGGTGCTTCAGCACTGTTGATGCTTGGTGCCTTCCTCTAATCCTCCTCCACTACGCCCGCTTTTTTTGGGCAGCTGGATCACTGTGCTCTTTGAACAAAAAACTTCAGGAGATGCAGCTCCTCTCCTGCTGAGTAGAGTTTAGAGGAGAGGACAGCACCCACACCTTCCTGGACAGTTTCTCATTTTCTTTATTGGTTAGATCTCCACCAACATCAATACAAATGGTCTGAGTGTCCATTATCGGTGCTTGAAGTTTTTCTTTCATCTTCTCATGGACTTTACTGGTTTTGACTAGCTCTTGTTTGAGCTGGACATTGTCTCTCACTGTACTGTTATAAAGATGTCTTGTGTCCTTGTATGCATTAACTTGGTTTTCCAGCTCTTTCTTCTTCTCTCTGTCTTTCTTGTTAGTCTTTTGACTTTTTTGGAGTTGCCAAGCTCTAATTGCACATTTTTTTTATAGTATTGTATCTCCTTATGTGCTTTAAATTGGTCTTGTAGTTGGTTGTCCTTCTTCTGAAGGGTATCAGTGAGCTTTTGCAACTTCAAGCCCTTTTCTTTGCCAATCCTCTTCTGAGTCTTAAGCTTGCGGTCCAAAGAAGTTATTTGGACCTGATCTGCAAGCTTGGCCCTTGTCCGCTCCAACTCTTCGAGTAGTGCCCTGACCAGTGCAAATGCAAATGCATCACTAAAGGTTTTCCACACAAGCATAAAAAAACCTGAGTTTGAAATATGGTGAAACTTTCCATATTTTATTTGCTTCATTTACTACTTTAAATCAGTATTAAGCTTGTACACATGATGATATGTATTGTTAACATGCACATTTGAGAGGAAAACATTGCATATTGTTTTGAATTGAGAATGCACTGTTATTAGGGGGCCTTGTACAATCTTCTGATGAATGGTTCTACAGACTTTGGGAATGACTGATGTAGAGTGCTAGATCAGCAAAACTAGCATCAAAACTTGTACCTTTACTGGATAGTTTTAGAATAGCCAGTCCACATGTTAAAATTTAAGAAAATACTATTGTTATTGTTGAGTCTGTCTCTGTGTGAGTTTTGGTATTGAAATCAAGTTTGAAATTGTATTATTGTGACAAACTCTAGGATACATAATACATAATAAAAAAAATGCATAATAACAAATCCACATATAATCACATGCAAATAGTTTCAGTAATATCAATTGTAGTAGCAGTACTCCAGAGCATGGTTAGTTAGTGGTAAGTAACACCAACAAAGTTTTATCCATGATTGGAATCAACACAAGGAGTAGACTACTGGCTTCCCATGGTTGTATTTATGATATCCAAATCATAGAGCACAAATAAGGCGGGTCCAAGTTGTCTTAAAATTTATCACTCAAGTAGCTTTCACCGTAAAACCCTTTAATGAGTGGTTTACCAAATCTTGGGAGCAGATGTTTTTTTCATTTATTTGTAATTACTGGCAAAATGCTCTGCGGTCATCTATCTCCTGTAGGATATGTTTCAGATGACTAAAAATTCCAGGAAATGATGTGGAAGACACCCCAGATTAACTGACTATCTGCCCTGCTCTGGCTTCCACAGTAGTGCTACAGTAAATGCACTGGAATTCAGACTCCCTTTCATCCTCAGGAAAATTATACATGTGTGAAGATTACTGCCATATGGAGCGTGTTGTGACAGCTCTATTGACGAAAACAAGTGCTTCATGCATAGACATTGCAGGTGGATAGCCTGTTTAACTAATATACTTTACAGACAGTGATGTCTAAAAGTAAAATGTATTGATAAATTACAGTTTTGCAAGTAACTTTGTGCTTGGAATTTAAATCTAATTTTTCACTGAGCCCACTTTTAAAAGTACTGGTTAATTTTGTAGCATATTAGATGTAGCATGCAGATGTCTTCTCAACAAGGGGGAAATAAGGTTTTCTAGCTAGGCCTAATATATTTCTTGGCATATACTATAATCTTGGGATCTTCAGTAATAAAATAGCACCAACAATAGTAGCCTGATATTTGCCAAGTTGTAGGCACAAAACAGCCATCAGCACTGCAAAGAAAAGTATTAAATCTGTCAGTTATCAAAGATTCAGTAATTAAATATCAATATGATGGACAAACAAAAGTTGACTGTTTATACAGACCTTTACATAAAGACTAAAAACTGCCAAATTCAATGCACACATTATTAATCAGAGATTATGGACCTGGCTCCACTGCATGTGTGTATTTTGCCCTACACGAGCGTAAAAACTGCAACTTTTGGATGCGTAACTTTTAGAATGCATGGAAAGTGAATGAGGGCGGCGCGTGTATGGAGCACATCCTATTTTTTGACGCTCTACGCGAGCATAGGTACGTGTCCCCATCAAAATACACAGAGAGTATGAATCTTTGGTTGTATTTGTGTGTTTACCATCAGTACAACCTGCCCCTGGGACAGTTCTGTGTCGCGTGAAAGAGCCCAGGTAAAGAAATACTGTTAGGCCTAATAAGTGCTTTAAAATTTACTTTTGAAATCCTGGCATTTGCTGTGGTGAACCTGTACAAAAGGTAAATACAAGTCTGTTCAGTTGTTAGTTTCACGGTGGACCTGATACAAGCGGCTAAACGTCAACGTCAAGTTTGATCGTCTTTCCCATTGACAAACACAGAGGCAGTGCTGCGCATCTATGTCCTGCTGCAGCTGCCGGTGGAGCCGCTTTCGCTTTGACGGGCGTCTGTGTTTTTGCGAGGTTACGCACATAAACGTTGATATTTTGGTAATACAGTAATACCGTATACCCTGGTAAAATCCTGAGATGGTATCACATAAAATTTTGGATACCACCCAACCCTATCGCACTTGTTTTCATACTTGTGCCATTTGACTCAAAATACCAAAATTAAGCACTACATTAAAGTGTTCTGTCCATTCTTTCACAAACTCCAATTTGAGCCACAGAGGTTAATGTCATTTAGCTTGTGCCGAGGTGAATACACTGAGACTGGGGCAGGCAGAGGGGAGTATGGGTAATCAGTGTGCAGTGACCAGCGTCTGGCAATCACACCACAACAGTGCTCTCATTCATCACTGCAGCATTATACCACTAACAGGTACAGCCCACGAAATCCAACCCCCAAGTTCAACCAAACTACCCCCTCCCCCTCCATGCGTATCTGCTTTAAGACAGGAGAAAAAAAACAAACATTTATCTTAGGTTGTGTTCCTCTTTAAATAAAGTTTATGTTTAGTGAAAAAGATATGCCGTTCTAGAGGTTGCACCTTCTAATGTTTTCAGTTCAGTAACAAAGTGCATTGATGAAAAACTCCAAGGGGATTGTTATTCCCTCTGTGTAACTTGTAATGTCTGCAGAACTCTTCCTGGGGCAATGACCTTCACCACTGAACCATTACACAGTGTTAGTTGGAGTCAAGACTTCTGAGAGAGAAAGAAAGACCAGAACAAAATCTTTTGGTGAAAATAACCCAGCCTTGCTTATTACAGTTCTTGGCTAAAGTTAAGTAAAAATATGTTAAGGATACCATTGTAACAAATTAAGGTAAAGTGGCACAATATAACCATTGTCCACACCCTGCTTGCCACCAAGGAGATCTTTTTGGTTTATTTTCAATTCTACTGTATGGCAATAAACCTATTTAACTTGCATTTATTCATTCATAGGAGATTTATTGATTAAGAAAAATATGCATTGTTACTGTGAGCAAAGCTGCCTCTACACAGATCTGACCTGTAGGTGTGGGGTCAACTGCTTGTCTCTATGGAGGTAGATAATTTGAATACCATAGTGCAGAACTTTCCAGGTAAAGAAATAACATCTCCATGCACTTTTAAAACAATGCAGGTAGTTCTATTCCTTCACCAAACAGGTGAACATTATCACTGTGTCCTTGGGCAAGACACTTCATCCTGCTTGTCAGCTCAGGTTTGTGATGGATTGCTACAGAAAACAATAAAGCTATAATACATCTATCTAAAAGTGAACTGCAGGGGGAAATAGGTAACTTTGCTATAACCAAGTACTGACATAGTTCCTATAATAAGCCTTGTATACCACATAAGCATCATAAACCAATCCGTTGCAATAACTTCTCCAAATCCCCAAAATGATTTATAGATAAAAACAAATGTCAACAAAAAACACATGTCAGATAATGATTTTACTTTTAAAAATATCTGTTCCCCACATTTTCCAGACTGATCCAGGGCTGTAACATTCCATCTCTAAATGTGCGAACAGCAAAAGAAAACAGTTTGTCCATCAGCTCTTTTTATAGTCACCCTTTGTAGTAGTAATGGCTTTGACAGGCAGCTCTCGGCTCCCTATTTCCAATACTACACACTACATACCTATGGAGGCCAGGTGCTGAAAGCCAGAGAACTCCTGACACGTTTCAACAGCAGTCATATAGAGCTGTAAAGTGGGTTAACACCACACCTCTGGACTACTGTGTGCCAGACAAAATGCTACCATCATTAAGCAAAGAATGATTTTTGGTTACTTTAGCAGCTAATCCAAGTGGAAATCATTTCCTTTTAAAATTAATATTTTTATTAGATCAACATTCTCAGTAAATTTTTTTATATCTTCTTAGAGGAAATGTAGGGTAATTTTAAAAGAGTTAAAGTAGTCTTCTGTGAAATTGCAACATAGTATTGATTTTAGGACATCATTGAATTTTTTAATTTCTGCACCCAACTGCCTTATATAGCCTGTATGTATTCACATACAGTATGAAAGATTACCTTGTTAGCTTTTGTTGAGTGCTAGAGCACTGTAAACCAACTGTGATTCTAAACTAACTATATACTACTGTATATAAAATACTAACAAGTACTGGTCTTGAAAAAAATCCCATAAATGCACAAAAATTTTCCTAAATAGTAAAGACACTAATGTTGTCATAATTCTTACGTTTCAAACTTGATTTCAATACTAAGGAAAAGACTTGATACTTGATACCACAATGACAACAGGAAAACGTTTACACTGTAAATGTAATTTTTTAACACAAATGAATACTAGTTTCTCTAATAGTAGTATTTGGTAGTTCAAATGACTGACATCGATTCAATTATTAAATTATAAACTCCAACGGTACCATTGTACCATAAAATATAAAAAATGTATGATCCAATTAAGATTTCCATCATCCAAAGTAGCCCTTCAGTCATGGACATATATTATTTTATACTTGATTAATTTAACTATAAAGAATAAAGGTTTGAGTAGAGCTGTCATAAAGAAAAATAATTGCTAATTCCACTGTTCTTGTTGGATATATGAGCTTCAAGGTTACAACTTTCCACATTTTATAAACCATTAGGGAAACACAAACTCAAAATTAATACTAAATATAGTGCTTTTTCTGAATAAGGTAGATAAATCCCGTCTAGGGAAAACAGAATAGAACAGGCAATTGTTTTTCCTGGACGGGTGCCAAATGCATAATTGTGAAATTTTCCAGCTTAGACAGGATATGAGTAAAGAGTATCGAAATCTGTCAGTTTATAAATCACTTGATTTGCTTTTAGCAAACTTATATGTCAGACCTTACCTTCTGCATCCTGATGGGTGAGAAGTGTCTGGGCCAGTCTTCTTGGCTGCTCTCCAAAGTCCCTCATCCGAATGGGAGGTTTACTGGTGGGGCTAAACTGTATTACAGGATAGGGCCTTTCCTCTTGTTCTTGGTTCTTGACAGATTGGTGTCCATTTTGGCTATGTTTTTGGTGTTTGGCAGCATTCCTGCTAGCCTTATGTGCACGTGTAGAGTTGCTTCTTTCAGTGTTATGTCTTATAGTCCTATCTACACTTTGCTGAGGTCTGTGGCTGACTGTGGTCTTCAGCTGTGAGGTTTGGCCTGTTTGAAGTGACTCTTTCTGGGCCTCGCTAACTGTTGGATTTGTGTTATGTGATACTTTTGCCTGGCCACTTTGCTCTGGATTATGCCTGCCATGTGTCTGCTCGGGTTCATGTCTCCGCTCGTCATGCGAATTGGAGGTTGACTCTTGGTGAGTTGGTGGTAATGTAGTAGATTCCAGTGGTTGTTCCAGGTTTTGAGTGGAAGACATAGGCTGTGCCAATGTGTAGTCAGAACCGCTGGTGCCAGAATTGGGTGGGTCTGGCTTGTACAAAGGTAGTGTGTTTCCAAAATTGGATGCAGATTCACCACGATCTGTCTGACTAACGCCTCTCAAAGGGCCATTGTTTTCCTTCACACAACCAGGGACGATAGAGCACATCAAACTCCCTCCTTCATTTGGACAGTGACAAACTTGACAGCTTTCAATCTGAAATGAATGCCCCGCGTCATATTTTTTGTTGCCATGCACACATCCAATCTTACCACACTGAGGGCACCCGTCTTGGGGTTGTAAAATGTCTACGCAGTTTGGAGGGATTTCAGGACAAGGTATAAAGTGGCAGCTGATGTTCCCTCCACCTCTGGGACAGGAGCATTCTGTACTTCCGAAATCTACAAAGTAAGATTCTCCTTCTGGGACTTTCCCGCGTCGGAAGCCTGCCTGGACACAGTCGTAGTACTGATAGCCCTCACAGGTGCAGCCCCTCTGTGAGCAGGTGGGGCAACAGGCTCCTTTCTGCAATGTGGTCTCAATACAGTGTTGTAATACGGGACAGTCCTCACCAGTGCAGTCTCTCTGAGCATAGGACACATCCAAGTAAAGAAACAGCATGTATAGAAATCTCTTTTGAAGCCTCATGCTGCCTGAAAGATAAAAAGTGGAATTTATTTAAGTATAGCAAAGCAAAGACTATAAATCACCAGAACGTGTGCCATTTTTGTAATGAAATAGACAGAGGTAGGTGGATTATTAATAATAAATATTGGGCATTTATTTTTGAAGATTTGAATTGATTTTATTTGAATATTAAGTTATCAGGTATAAAAATGCTGCAAAAGAACTAATTAAAATGAAAAACTTCCAAATGAGAATATTAAGTAATAATTCTGGGCTTTTGTGAGTAATAATTTCACAGTCCTTTCATGTTTGTCTGATATTTAAACCTCAACTAATACATTTAAAGATGTGCTATAACGCATGAATTGAAAATATAAATGTCAGAATTTTTGTGTATATCGCCCATGCTTCTAAGGAAAAGCTTTTATATATTAGTATCTATAAAATCTGTAGATGTCTGCAAACAGCACCCATACCCTGTGACTCTGTGATGTGAATTTAGATTTGCGTTCAAGTCAAGCATCTGTTTTCTATTTTTGTCCTGTTTCACTTCACCATTTGATTAAGTTGGAAATAAAACACTTTGTTAGTACTGAACAAATTGGGTTTTTAAATAAAGGGTTAACATGTTTTGCTGTTTTTTGGTCTCTGCCCTTATCTTGTTTGCCCCACTCTCTACGTCCTTGTAAGAGAATCCCACAAAACTGTATTTTGGCACGCACTAAAACATGTCTTTTACTCAAGTGCTTTGAAATCTATTTAACTATATTTTTAGAGTATCACAAATGAGTTTATATACCAGTATTATGGCAAAGGAAAATGAGCCCACTTGATAAAAAAATAAATAAAATCTATTTCAGACTATATAAAGAAAATGAAAGTTAACAGCCAATAAGTTGTAAAGGTTGTGAATAAAATGCAACAGCATGTGCACTCTCCCCAAAGTGTATTATGGCTCCATTAGAGAATCAATGCTGTCTTTGTACTCTCTCAAAATCATTTTAGCAGATCTGAAAACATACCAACAAGTGCCCTGGAGTTTCAACCTACATGTGGGCTGTCAGAGAAGGCAAGTGTTTGAAGAGTATTAAACCCACAAAAAGGCTGATGCAATAAGAAAAATATATGTTATGACTGCCACAGGGGTCTTGGTATAATTGTAGCAGGAACTTCAAAAGTATACGAAAAACACGTGCAGATTACACAAAATTTCAGTCTTCAAAGTCTCCAGAACATTGAGCTGAAAAGTGCATTTCAATATTGTGTAATACATCGCTCATAACAACTCATAGGTAAGATTGTGGTCCTTAATTTTTAACTAAATTTAAATTCTAAACATTTTCTGGCAAAGGTCTAAGCTGTATTATTTAGCCAAAAGGCGCTATACAGTATTGTCTTGTATCCATAGCGAAATCCAACATTTACCTCGTGCAAATAATTTTAATTTAGTCCATCTAAATGCCTTAGGTTTAAGTGACATAGAAGGATAGAATGCAAAAAAACTTCGTTTACCTCGTGTCTCTCGCCTCACGGTGCCGCTGAACTCCACCGGGAAACTTGTGCGTAAAGTCAGTGCCCGGGCTCAAACTTGGGAGCGCTTCTTAGGAACGAGGGCGGGGCGACGAGTTCGTGGAAATACTTTCTCTAATCCCGATTTTGCCTTTTTCGTGTGGTGTTAGGCGCGTGTTACTCACGAAATAACCCCAGAGAAATTACCTAACGTTCACTGACGTAAGGGTTAAAAAAGTGCGGAATGACTTATCTGCTGTTATGTAAACATGGGGACCCCAAGAATGAAGGGTTTAGTCTTTTAGTGGCCCTTGCTGCATAAAAGCTATCCGTGGGTTTCAGAATGCTGAGAAATTAGGGCTATTGCCACAGTGATTGCCAGTTTAAAACAAAATATGATATCTTTTTAATTGGAAAAGTCCAGTATGTTCAGTGTGTTGCAACAGGATCAAAACTGAAAACCATGACTAACACATTATAGGCAATGAAGAGAGGGTTTACAAAATACTATGACTATATTTTAAATAGTGAAGAAAATTCATCATTGTTGATTTGGCTTGAATTGTTAGTAGGCCTATATTCCGCAAAAGTAGTCTTTCTTGGTATATTAGGTATTATTTAAAAATGGTGAATTGTTGCAATCTCCTTTAGGCTATATTATGTCAACAATGTTGTATGTGGCCCTCACATATTTTCACTTTTCTGCTTTGATCTTCAGGGTCAGTTGGTCATTTCCACACAAAAATAGAGACAATAGCTGCAGATGAATGGTCTGATCATTGGAGGCATAGGACTGACCGAGGAGGCCACTGGTCACTGTGTTCAAGGGGTCTGCTATGACTAATCAATGTCAGACAGGAGTTAGACACTCATTATTACTTCTCTCTGGTCTGCATAATCAAATTTACCCACGGCAGTGTCATGCATTTCAATGGGTTTGTGCTTGGTATTCTGCAGTCATTGTCCAGCATCTCCGATCTCAACAACAAGCATTGATTTTGAGAAGAAAAAAAAAAAAGAGCCCAAATAAGCAAGTTTATTGTTGATGCAAAAGTAGAAACACAAGTGAAAAATTGTTGTTGCTGTTCAAAATAAAGACCTGACGTTTTTTTTTATTATTATTATTCCAACAAACATGAGACATGGGTATAGTAAAATGATTAAAATTAAGTCATTTAAAATTGGTATCCTTGTTTGAACTTTGCCTGTGACTTATAGGACCCTCCTGTAGACCCTCCACGTTGACCATTCATTACACTGACTCGTGCATAAGTAGGAGGTGAAACATATTAAAACACAATACCTATTCATCTCTCCAGTGTAAAAAACTTTGTTACATAACTTTTAACAAGAGCTTATTGGAACATGTGTGCAACAATAGCGGATTGTTTTGACTGTATCTCCAAGGTGGTCTTTGACACTTAATGGAAATCTGTTTCAATTAAAGTTGCAAATTCCCAGTATGTTACACTATCAGAGGCACTCCTGACAGATACCGTCTGCATTGACCTGTCTCTCTCTCTCCCTCCATCATTGCAGCTAATGATTCTTAGGTTGCAAGATAATGCCAGCTGACACGCATATATTGGGCAGGCCTAATCGCGCCCCTCTCTCTTGTAATTCTTCATTCATGCATGTCTAAAAAGTGACTTATGCCAGGACTAATTGACCCTGCTGGATAACTGTCTAACCTTGGCTCATCATAATGCGTCTTAATAGGCATGTATCTGCATCTCATAGAGTAGATATTGAATTGTAAACTAAAAGAGATGGTGTTTATTATTTGTTCCCCTGGATAAGCTGAGGTAATCGTTGCATCACTGCTTTGGTTTGCATTAAAAGAGGTGCCAGTGATAGTGACATCATTGTCTGCTCAGACCTCTGTTCAGTCTATTGTGTGATGCATGGTCTGACTCCTTGTTTAAACAGGTGCTTTGAGTTTCCCTAACCTAACTTTCGAAATTTGTCAAGTTGGATTATCAATTGCAATTTAATTACAATTTTTAATATCGTTTGTAGCCAAATGCATTTTAGTCATCCAGATAGAAGCAGTGATTTGGTTTTGAAATGTATTGTATTCTCCAACTTTGAGCTATGTTTTAGATTATGTCTCATTATGAAAAAAAATAAACAAAATATAATCAAAGCCCCATGAAAGAACATTTGATATCACTGTTTAAACTTATCCAGTCACCATCATTATTTGCCAACATTTGTCATGACTTCACTTTTGTCCAAGAATTTGAAGATGCAAATTCTGGACAATGTTTTACCATCTGGTGAACATGGACACACCAGTGATGAAAGTACATTTTAGGACTATATCATATTGTTTTTGTTTATATTTAGTTGTTGCAGATGGGATCAAAACTTGTGCTTAAAATATGTTTGGCCTAATAGTTGAAGGAAAACAAATTTTGAATGTAAAGAATAAAATACTTATAAAAATAGAAGAAAAGCAAAATGTCTCTTGTTGTATTTGAACTGGTTTTGGTCTTTAAAACTTCACAGACGAAAAGCGGAAGTCATTACCAGGCGAATACCGAATGTTGTGGCACTGCAGTGTGCTATGGAGTAAAGAAATTAGGAGCAGTAAGTAAATAGGGTGAAGGGACTCCCCACCTGGGCCTTGTAAAGTCCTTCCAGACTCTTGTTAATGAAGGGAGCTAGAGCAGAACATGCCACAAGTGAAGACTGAACTAAGGCACCACAAGCAGTTTATAGTTAGTAGATTCAGTATCACAGTAGACACACTGCCAATAAAATATTAAAAATAGCTTGTAATTTAAAAAGTCTATCTTCAGTCTATCTTGAGGAACTGATACATTGTGCTCTATATAGGTGATTCACAGAAAATTTGATTTTAAATTGTAATCCCAGGTTATAATAATAGTGTTCTTGGAAAATGTAAGATCAAGATCATAAATATATATCTGTCAACAGCTTTTACTGCTTAGACCTCCAGTAGTTTTTATAAGCCTAGTATCTCACACTTTTGGAGAGCCTTGGAGTGTCAATGTACAAAACAAAATGGTATCTATATAGCTCACAACATTTACAGCTATACTTAAGGACATTAACAAAAGTAAAAGCAATGGCATTTCTTTCACTCACCAGTTATTTGCACAGTGGATAAAATGACAGTCCATGGACGTTCCTGAGCTGACACCAGGAAGGATGTGACTGCTGATGCATGCCAGATGAGGAGACAGACTCATAAAGACAGACAGCTGCATGAGGATGGAAGATCTGCAATATATGGGCCCTGAGAATGTAAAATATTAAAATGTTAGAAAATATGAATTCCAAAAAAAACAAAAAACAAAAAACCATCACTCTAAAAAACATAAGGAGCGAGAGACAAGTTGAAGTGATAGGTCTCTTTCATTATTCATTCACCTGGCATGACCATCTTGAACTGAAATGCAAGTAAGGTGTTATAGTACAGTGTTTTCATTTTATAGATCTCTTAACTGTAAATGGTCACATTTTTCTATAGCACTTTTCCACCTTCAAGGCACTCAAAGTGCTTTACAACAAGGTGGGTTAAGTGTCTTGCCCAAGGACACAACAGCAGCATTCATCTGTGGGAGCTGGAATCACACCAGCCAACCTGTGGGTCAGTGGATCTGACCGCTCAACCTGTGATGTTTATGTAGAGAGCTGGATTCGAACCGCTAACCTTCAGGATCAGTGGGCGAATGCTCTACCAACTGAGCTACTGCCGCCCAAAATGAAAACTATTTCTTAAATTTGACATGTCCTTTCTTTCATACAGCCTAAGAACATACATTAACATGAAGAGTGTAGGCTACTTAGATATTAATATAGTCATATTTGAATAACATATCCAACAAAGCCTTGTCGGAGACTTTTTGAAGAGTTATCAGAGGTAAACAAAAATACACTTTTGCTTTAAGAAATGTCGTCATCTGGTCGTCGCCAGCCCACGTTCATGACGTCTCCTCTACTCCCGGCATGCACGCTTCAACTTATTGCTAATGGCGGGTTTTTGTACGAAACATGCGCGTTTTAAGCTTTTGCACGTATATTATTTGCACTACTAATATATTGGAAATTAGAATTATTCGGTTTGCGTGTTAAGATTGATTTCGGAGGAAAAATAACGCCAGAAGCTAAGTAATACGAGTTGAAAATCCTGTAATCATCATGAGGCAGCTCTCTTTACTACTGTAACTGAACTACATTGGAAGGCAGCTTTTGTTTGAATGTGAACTTTAGTTTTAGTCGTTGAACCCCGCTTTAATGTGGTTTACTAAGTTTTTTAATATTTGAACGGTACCCAAGAGAGCACATTGCGTATACTGTTAAATATAGGAATCTCAGTAACTACGCACTGAGCGGAAATGATTTCTTCAAAATATCCCCTATCAATAATATTACTTTTATTGATCAACGTTGTAAAAATACATGGCAGCTCTAAATTAAATATACCCAAAGTATTATTGCCATTAGCCAGAAGTACAAGGATTAACTTTACTCTTGAAACTACGGAGGGCTGCTACAGATGGTGAGTATAGATGAAGTTTACCACTATGAAACATGCAGAGGCGCTGCGAGGACAGTAGCAGGCGTGTCATGTTACAAGACAAGACAAATGGTCATTGCACTGTTGACTCAAGCTAGGTGTAGTAATAAAGCTGCTAGCTTTTACCAGACCTATGTTTTCTGCAGTTTAGAGTTGAGGTTTTGCACATGTTACATGACTGCAGTGTAGTTAGCTATTCGTTGTTTACATACACACACATCATTCACAGCACGTTATCATCTGTAAATAATTTAAAATCTGATAATATTGTGGTGTTGTTCGATCATTGTACTTGGGTATTGTCACTAATTTAAGTGATCAGACAAAATATTTAACAATAAATTGTCATTAAAATATAATTTAATACAATACACTAAATCAATACTGAAACATATAACTAATTCCAACTTGGGGCAGAAATGGTACCTGGTGTTCAGTGTGAATGCATGTTAATAAAAAGCTCTTAACTCTTAGCTCTTAAACACTTAAACTTCCTATCCATTTTTCTTAGGACTTCAACTAGACCAGAGGTAGCCAGTATTCGGGCTGTGGAAGAAGATACGAGTAGAGGATGTTCTAGGAAAGCTCTTCTTCAAGCCATGTCCACTCAGCCCTCCAGACTGACTAGCATAATTTTGGCTGAAGACATTGGTAAATAAACACAGAATTCGCAGGCCTTTACTTCCTGTTCTTTCTTTACTAATGCATAATGTCAGTATTTGCCATTACACTATCATGCAAAGACCATAGTCAATTAACATTTCTTTTTTTAAATTATATTATTTTAAACATGCTCTAATGACTGTCTTCTTGTAATAATGATTTACTTAACATAATAATAACATAATAACTACATAATTTGACACTGTACAGACAAATGTGATTGCAGTAACAATATTATATAAACAAGTTTTCCTTATTATAGTCACAGGACAGGTACTTCGTTGTGATGCCATTGTGGATGTTATCAATGACATCCAGATTGTCTCTACAACCAGAGAACTGCACCTGGAGGACTCCCCACTTGGTCTTAGGATTCATGCACTGGATTCAGAAGGTAAACAGTATTTTATTGTTCTGATGTGCACCTGTTGACACCTTTTTGTTTTGTAATACCAAAGCATTATTACTCTGCATAGTTACATGTGTTTAGCCAAATAAAATATGTATTTCATGTTACATTAAGTATGACTTTAAATCACTCTGACTTTCATAATACAGGAAACACCTTCAGTACGCTGGCAGGCTTAGTTTTCGATTGGACTCTGGTAAAGGATCTTGGAACCAATGGTTTCTCAGATTCATATAATTCACTGAGGTGAGGTTTTATTGTAAACCTAATCATTTAAATCAGCCAAATATCACTACCACTATGTTTAAGTTATAACTAATCTTTAAATCTCATGTGTCTTAGGGTGCTTAAGTTCTCAGAGTCCACCTACACTCCTCCAACATACATATCAGAAATGGAGCGTGTTGGAAAGCAGGGCGACATAATTCTAGTTTCAGGACTGAAAACAGGACATGCTAAATTGAAGGCCAAAATACAGGAATCATTGTATAAGGTAAGTTAATTGAAATGCACACTGTTTGATAGTGAGATCAAATCTAATAATGTAGTTGTGTAAAATGTGGTTTCTTGAATTTGCTCTTACACGTATATTAATCGTGCAACCAGTTACTCTTGGTTTGATGTGGCAGGAAGCTAACCAACTAGTTTGCCTAGTCTGTAACCATGGTGATGTGTGTTACAGGATGTGGGTGCTGCTGAAGTGAGACTGTTGATTTTGGAGAACATAATGCTTAGTCCGGCATATGACGTGTACCTGCTTGTGGGGACTTCCATCCAATACAAAGTACTGAAGATACGACAGGGCACAATTACTGGTGTGTGGTGCACTTTTTGACTTTGAAATCACCTTTATGTCCAGTATCACGCTATCTCACTTACCTTGTGTGATCAGTTCCTCTTCCTGAACCCATATCTTTTCATCTTTTTCAGAGCTGGTAATGCCTTGTGATCAATATGAGCTGCACCTTGAGAACAGTGTAGTTGGGTCCAATGGAAATCCTGAACTTGCAGTGGCCAGTCTTGATCAAAGCAGTTCAAAAGTTACTGCAGTTCAACTCGGCCATATCAATGTGGTGCTCGATCACAAGAGTATCCTTTTCACAACTAACCCTGATATTGCATTGGGTTTCTCATTTCCTCTTGAATTTTGTAAAAAAAATTACATATCTTTGAACTGTACTTTATTATATAGAAACATTAGAATCTATTTAGAATCTATAATTTATTTTGCTAATAATGATTTAGACCCAAGATCTTATTGTCCCCAAGGGGAAATCCTTTTCCACAAACAAAAAGCCTGTTTAACATGCTCAAACAGACAAAACAACAAAAGATTAGATCAGATTATAATAGACAGTAGAGTGCAATTTGGGGAGGGGAAGTGGGGGGTGGTATTGTTCAAAAATGTGATGTTCACGAGGATCAGAATTCTTCCAATGCGGGCTCTCCTACACCTGAGCCTCTGTGCAGGTCTGTGAGGTGTTCCTGTAGTGGATGAGTGAAATTCTATTTTATGAAGAGTGCAATGTGTCCAGTGGCGCTGTTCTTAAGATTTGCGAGATAAAGTGTGGGGAATAGGATTTTTTGTTGCTGTGTGTGTTATCTTTGTGAGTTTGCTCCAGTTTTAACAGTGAAGACAGGAACACACAGGTAAAACAGCACAACATGATGGGCTGAATAATGTATTGATATAACAGATAAAATAATTACAGTTTAATGTTTTAATATTGACTGATTTGCTATTAAACTCCTATATCTGCTGTATATACTTCCTAAACACATTTAATCTAGGTCTTCGAATGCAAGGAGTGTCTCGCTTACCCAACAGCACCTTGTATGTTGTTGAACCTGGTTATTTAGGTCTGTATTAATATTATTATTATTATTATTATTATTCACAGTCAAATACAATATGTAACATTCATTAATTTATTTCAAAATATCACTTTAATACATTTTTTTCAGGCTTTAAAATTCAGCCTGGAGATACCTGGGTCCTTGAAACAGGCAGAGTGTATGATATTGTAATTGAAGTATTTGATAAGACTGGCAACAAAATTCACCTTTCAGATGTAAGTAATTTGTACTTGATGTTTAATTTTCGCAAACACATTTTCTCTCTGATTCCAAAGGTTTTCTTGTCTTTTTGCAGAATGTCCGTATTGACACTGTATTCCCTGCGGAGTACTTTGAAACTCTGGACTCATCACTGAATGGATCATACCACAGAGTAAAAGCACTCAATGAAGGCTTAACTCTAATTGATGCCACTTTAACATCTGTTGTTGGAGAAGTGAGTTTAGATTTTCTCCTGTTTTTCTAGAATTAATCTCTTCTAATATTTGCTTTATAATTATTTATTTTTTAGAATGGCAAAATTTTTACCCTCTCTAATCCAGTCCACAATGAGCAAGATGTAGAAATCTATAACCCCATAGTTTTGCGCCCCAGCATTCTCACGTTTCCATGGCAGCCGAAGATTGGAGCTTATCAGTACACCATACAGGTAATTAAGAAACTTTATTGTGTGGGGTTTACCTCCTGTTTTTAAAAGACTACAAGAAGTGTTTTATCTTCATGCTGAAAAAAGTGGACGTCCTTTCATTACATAAGAAAATTTCCCATTGTATTTGTTTTGCTTCGTGGTAATCAAACATTTTTTTCCAAACATGTTAAAAATGTCTGTGTATGAACTGCATTTAATGTATTGGCCTCAAATGCGTTAACAAATAATACGTTAATATGGGTAAGAAAAAAAAAGCCTGTACTATTTAAATCCAAAATCAAATGTGACTGAAATCATAAAATACTTTTACCTTAATGAGATTTGTACGTTTTAGAAGTACTTGCACCAAACACAATCAGGGCTAAAGTAATTGACTTTTAAAATGTTTTCATTTTTTTGCAGGCCTCTGGAGGCAGTGGCAATTTCAGCTGGTCCTCCTCCAATAAGGCCGTGGCTACAGTGACTGTGAAAGGGCTGATGACAACTGTCAGTGATATTGGTCTGAGCGTGGTTTATGCTCATGATCTACGGAACCCGCTGCACTTTGGCAATATGAAGGTAAAATGTCGATAAGATGTGGCCCAATATTTAATTGCCCCAAATGTTCCTTTGATGCAGCAAACTTAATCTCTTTGCATTGTTGCTGACTTTTACCATTACTATGTTGTAAGTAAAGTAAATTAACAAAAGCTATAATGTTCAATGTTTTGTTTAGGTGCCTTTTAGATAGTGGGGTGCATATGGTGCCATAGCAAGTACAGGAGCTCTGAGTGTTTTAGTGGTTGAAAACATACTGTCATCTTTCAAGAGCTACTATAACATTTTGGTTATTTTAAATTAATGAAACTGTAATAATAGAACATCGATCAAAGACTTTTTAGTCAGACAAGTGAAGATTTCATTCTTATGTCCAAATTCTGACATCCCATTAACTGTTTTGACACTTAATCAATTCATGCAATAATTGTAGTTATGTGGCTGTTTGTGAAAGATCTACAATTTTCTCCCGCAGGTGTATGTGGTAGAGCCGGTTGCCATGGATTTTGCTCCCTGTCCTGTAGAGGCCAGAATCGAGCAGGTCCTAGAGCTTCCCCTCAGGATCTTTGGTCTACTCGAGGAGACGGAGCAATATCAAGTGATGCTGAGCGACTGCTCCCACTTTGACCTGCAGGTAGAGGAGGAAAACCAGGGAGTCTTCCAGCTGCTAGATGGTAAGATTTGGTTTGACAGCAACTGGACACTTTGAATTACAATTTAGAGTTTTTGTGAATTACCTAAATTTACCTTATTTCTGTAAAAATGATAACATATAATGACCAAAACAATAGACCACTTAAAATAACAATTCCAAATAGAAAGTTTGTTTACAAAAAAAAAAAAAAAAGATTTATGAAATGTGTATTAAAATTCATGAGATGCGGCACCCCTAGTGTACACCTTGAGATACTACAGCTAGTTATATATGGTAAAGCACTTTGAACTGAGTGAAATTTGACTACTATGTTATGTACACCATATAAACTTGCATCATTATCTCTGGCTCTTGTTTTAGGGAGGTTGGCCCCGGGTCAGGACCACTGCAGTGGAGTGAGGGTAAAGGCTGTTGCCGCGGGTTACACCACACTCACAGTCAGCTACACTCATGGCAACGTACACCTGAGCGCCAAGATCACCATTGCGGCATATCTCCCATTAAAAGTGAGTGCACTGTTTTTCTCACTATTCTTTGACAAAGAAGGATATTTTTAAATGTGTAAAACGACTAAGCATTCACAATTCAGGAAGCTGAACAGGATGGGAACTTGATGACGAATGTATTTCTCAATCCAACTTTGCTGTTGAAATAGATTTTATGTGTATTTTCATTAATATGCACAAAAATAATTTCATAATCGATATACTGTAATGCTTTTGCTGAACATCGTTTGTATTAAGGATATGGGATTTATACATTTGAATGATTTCTTTTAATTTCATGTATTATTAACCATGTACATTTTCTCCATACTTGACAGGCTGTAGACCCTGTCTTTGTGGCAGTGGTGACTCTGGGCTCCTCTAAGGACATGCTGTTTGAGGGGGGACCGTGGCCTTGGGTTTTGGAGCCCTCGAAGTTCTTCTGTAACTTAACATCTGAAGATGAAACTGCTGTGAGCCTCACTCACATCAGCCCTCCATCCTCCAGCTCCAAACAGCATTGGGTCAGAGCCACATGTAGAGCCCTCGGAGAACAGGTAGGCTTTCTTTTATTATGTATACTTTAGTGAAAGAGCCTGTATTTATTCATATAAAAAGATTTTTTAAATTGTTTTTGCCCCAGACAATACATTAAATATATGTATAAGCAGGACCAAAATTAGACCATGGTGTGCTGTTTGCATCTATTTATAAGGTGTTTTTATTGTCAGTGATCCAGGACGTATCGCTGGTGTGCTGCAAGCATTGGCATAGTAGTAAACTCCGCTCTGGCTTCTGAAAGTTGTGAAATGCGTTCATAGACTCAACTCATGAATAGTTAGAATGCTAAGTATGCTTTTAGAAGGTTTGGAAAAAATTTTAAAAAACTATTCTGTTTTTTAGGTGCAGGACAGCTTTCAACATAAAGGGCTTATAGAACTACAACAGGTAATAATCTGCTGATGTCTGTGTTTCAGGTGCTGCAGGTGATGGTGGGGAACAAAGCTAGTGTGACTAATCCCTTCCCTGCGGTGGAGCCAGCCATAGTAAAGTTTGTGTGTGCTCCTCCATCTCGACTCACTCTGGTACCAGTGTACGACAGTCCTCAGCTCGACTTCACCTGCCCACTGCTGCAGCAGAACAAACAAGTGGTCTGTCTCCCATCCGCTGCATTTTAAATTTATATCTGAACAGCCAGGGGCCAGTGGTACATCTCTAAATTATATTTCATGTATTATTTATTTTAAGGTGCCTGTTTCCAACTACCGAAATCCAATTTTGGAGCTGGCTGCTTTTGATCATCAAGGAAGAAAGTTTGATAACTTTAGCTCTTTAAGCCTGTTTTGGGAATCAACAAAAGTTTCCCTGGCCAGCATTGAGCCCACTATGCCTATGGCGCTTCAGCTGATTGAGGATGACAACAATCAAAAGAAACTTCATGGTATATAATATTACTATTCTTTTAATTGCCTTATTATCTTTTTATTATACACTACTCATAAAAATATTGATTTGAATTAGGACATCAGACAATCCTTGTCCATCATCAAACGGGACTAGCTGCGATTACTGTGACCGCATTGGGGTACCAAGTTTCACATCTTGTAGCAGCTAAAGCTTCTAGCCCTGTAAGTGCATTTAACATCCTTTTACTTATTTAGCTATATTGTCTTGGGTAGAAGTATTGATTTTTCTTTATTCTTGACAGTACGAACCCTTGACCCCTGTGTCTGCAACTCTGGAGCTGTTGTTGGTGGAAGATGTCAAAGTTACTCCTAACACTGTAACAATCTATAACCACCCTGAAGTGCGAGTAAGATGGACAAATTTGGCAGAGTTTTTCTTATATTGATTTTTGATACAATTTGATCACTGAATTGCATTAATTTGTCTTTTAGGTGAATCTTGCCTTGCTGGAGGGATCTGGCCACTTCTTTGTGAACACTAGCATTAAAGGAATTGCAGCTGTCACATTTCAGGAAGTTAAGAAAAGTGCTGAGGTATTTTTGTATTTCAAGATGTATACATAGATGTGTAGTGCAATACCAATTATATATCAACTACATATTAAACCTGATGTATTATTCTGCAGGTAGCTCCACTTCACTCTGGAATAGTGAAAGTGATGGTTCATGATCTTTGTTTAGCATTTCCAGCTCCAGCAAAATCTACAATTCACGTGTCGGACATTTTGGAGGTTTACATCAGAGTAGTGGACAAGGTCAGACTTTCTCATTATATGCATACACCCACAGAATGTGAATAGACAATATAATCACTGGAGGTCTCTGTGTTAATTAATGATATCTGATTTATAGGTGGAGATTGGTAAATCTGTTAGAGCCTATGTGAGAGTATTGGATGAGAATAAGATGCCCTTCCCTGTTAGTTATTTCAAATATATGGGTCTGAAGCTCAAGGCTGCTTCACAAGTTGTCTCTTTAAAGTAAGTTCTCAATTTTAATAGCGCCATCATCTTCAGAAAAGGGTTTTAGTTAAACCCTTTATTCTCCACAGGCATTTAGCCGAATCATCAGAAAAAGACACTGCAGTTTTCCTTGTGAAAGGTGTTGCTATTGGACAAACTACACTGACTGCTGCAGTTGTGGACAAAAATGAAAGAAAAATTACATCTGCGCCACAACCAATAGAGGTACATATTGATTATTTTGTCTGTATCATATAAAAGTATGTGTCTAATCCCTTTATTTTATCAGGTTTTTCCACCATTCAAACTCATCCCAAAAAGAATGACTTTGCTAATTGGAGCAATGATGCAGGTATTTGTTATGAGGGTCTCGTGTACAGCCTTTTCCTCTACCAAATGTATGTGAATTATAATATTAATTAATATTTCAGATCACATCTGAGGGTGGTCCACAGCCTCAGTCCAACATCATTTTCTCAGTTTCCAAAGAGGAGGTGGCTTCTGTCAGTGCTATTGGTCATGTCAAAGGGGCCACTATTGGCAATGTCACAGTAACTGGACTGGTTCAAGCTGTTGATGCTGAAACCGGGAAGCTTGTAGTTGTGTCTCAGGTAACAGCAGAAAATATATGTTTATATTTATATAGTATACTATACAATGCTCTGTATAGTTAACATGGGATCATAATTCTTGTGTTTGTAGGACCAAGTAGAAGTTGAGGTTGTGCAACTGACAGCCATTCGAATCAAAGCACCTATTACGAGGATGAAGACAGGGGCACAGGTATACTATTTGACATAAAACACTAGATTGTATACTATACATATAATATATAGTCTGCTTTGTAACATACAGTCTAGTCTATAATTGAAAATCCTCTCCTGACCTGTTTTATGTTTTCATTGTAGATGCCTGTTTATGTGATTGGGTTGACCAGCAGTCAGACTCCTTTTACCTTTGCTAATGCGATCCCAGGCCTCACCTTTCATTGGTCCACCACAAAGAGAGACATCTTGGATGTTCAAACAAGACACACTGAGGTGCCCAGTTACACATATTACACATTTGATCATGCGTTATATTTAGTTTTTTATTGAATCCATCATGCTGGTACTTGGTAAACGTGGTAGAGGAAGCTTTTGGTTTGTAGTATGATGGGAGTGTGTCTGCTTTGCTGCTGTCCCTGTTCCTGCATCCTCATCTCCTCTTTATTTGATTTTCTGCAGCTATTTTTAACATTCTCATAATGCTGTGTTCTTCAGACTAATGTGGAGCTCCAGGCAGAGAATAATTTTGGCATGAGAGTGACTGGAAAAACCCGAGGAAGGACCGGGCTGAAGGTGATACTGAGGGTGAAGGACCGTGCAGCGGGACAACTCGTGAACGGCTTACATGAGCTTAAAGACGAGATTCAGATACAGGTAAATTCAAAATAAACTCACAATAAACTAATGTTGGCACTTGGCACGACACAACAATTTCAAACTCTATTTTGAAAATGAGGAAAATATTCTTTTGATACTAAATTAATAAAATTATACAATATAGCAGTAGTTATTTGTATCATGTATGTTGTCTTATACTGTTTTTGATATGATTAAAATTATTCTAAAACTACTAAGAGAAATGTCCAAAGTGGTCCTAAAAATGTTCATTAATGATACTTTCTCAAATCAACATACCTGTCTGCAACCCTACTATAAACAGAAAAAAATAACTTCAATTGATTTATTTGTATGCCAGATCTGCAGTCCGTAATGTAACCCTAGATTATTTAATGTTTATGCCATCACAGGATCTCTCTTGCTTTCTTTAAAATGAAATGTCATAGAAGTAAATGGATTGTCTAAAGTTGCTGATTTTTGGAAGAGCAAAGTAGTTTAGTGCAAAACTATTTGACTACAGATGAGTTGGTGGTGAATGCATCCAACTTCAAACTATATCTAAGTATGACATGTGGCTTCTGCCTAAGCTTCAAAGAATGATTCAAGCCTTTTGATAATTAGAGTTTCTTCTTTCTGCTTTGAACAAGGTCTATGACAAACTGCGGGTGCTCAATCCTGAAGTAGAGACTGGAGAAATATTGATGGCACCAAACTCGGCCCTCAGGCTACAGACCAACAGGTAAAGTGCTATATTTCTGACTTGCTTTTGGGAGTTTTATTATTGATCTTGGGTAGAAATATGTAGTTGATATTTTTTAACAATTGTGTGCGGTTCGACAGAGATGGGGTGGGCCTGCTCTCCTACCAGATGCTGGATTTCCCTGACCAGGCTGTTATCGCACAAGTGGATGATAAAGGCTTCCTCTGCTCCAGCTCGCTTACTGGCATCTCCTCTCTCCTGGTCACCTCACAAGAGACCTTTGGTGTCAATCAAACGATCATTCTGGCTGTCAAGGTCAGTCGGTGATCTGCTGTATTCAAGATGTTTCATATTTATAGCTCCATCATTATTACTGACGGATAAATTGTCCACTGCACAATGTCTCGTTAAAAGGTTGTTTTGAGTAATGTTTGGTAATTGTTGCACAATTTTACGAGCTAAAAAAAAGATAAATAGTTGTTTGGTGCTATACATTTTAATTCTGTACCATGTTCTTCAAATAACTTAAGTAAAGTGGTGGACCAGTTCCCACAACTCTTTTAAAAAACAAAGTCAAATTGTCTTTCAGTAGTGATTTTATGAACATAAATGAGACAGACTTTTAACCAGTGCTATTTAAAACAATAACAGTCCAATTTATTCTCCAAAGTCTGAACTCTTCTTCAAACCACATTCTTACAGAGAGGATTGACTGTGTACCTCACAAAAAACAACTCCTTGCATCTCATTGATGATTAGACATGACTGAATCTTGATTAAAATTGCCTATCCACCCATAGTTAGAGGGAATTATGCACCAATTAATCTGAAGTACCAGTCTATATATAATCTAAATCACCAGTCTACTCTTCTCAATATTCTAATTCACTACTAAAATCTTTTCTTTATTTCATGTATGAAGTGAGTGCCTAACTGAACTGGTTCTCAATCTGGTTGTTTGTTCTATAGGTGGTCCCTGTGTCTTATGTCCAGTTCATTAGCAGCCCCGTCCTGCCAATGTCCCTCAGAGACAAACTGCGAGCATTTCCTTTGGGGATGGTCCTCACCTTCTCCGTCCAGTTTCACTCCAGCAGCGGGGACCCTCTGCACAGCTCCAGCTCACGCCTCACCTTCACCACAAACAGGTCTCAGCTCAGTCCCCATGTGATTACTGCTGCGGCTCTGTGGTCTCTCACTGCCTCTGTTTCCTGACAACAGAGCTGCAATAAGAGAGTATAGGCTGTATAATGTTAAAATACTGAACAACATTTTGCAGTTAGTTCCTCAGGTGTAAAAGTGATTATCTATCTATAACTGTGCTAAAAATAGAATGAGAGAAGGCACTACATATTGTTAATCCATCTATTTTTAGATTTTATTCTTCTATGAAATTGATAACCAAAAGTCTACTTTTTTAACAAAATCTTTGCTACATCACACATTGAGTATTAATGTTTGTAGAACAAGATGTATAAATGCCACTTTGAGTGAGAGGTCATTTTGCCAGTTCACACCATTAATTCACTTGGCGGTTCTTTCCTTCAGCCTCATTTCAAATGGAGCGCTTTCCACCTCAGTGAGTGAGCTAAATTAATGGGAGTGTTGGGCAGGAGCACAGTGGTCCCAATGAGGGACACTCTCATCAGTCTACACAATAAATGATTCTATTAGCTTGTACTCCAGGTGCTGCTGACACACGATTTTAAGAGGAAACTATTCAAATCACTGCAGTAAACTGAAGTGCTCTGAGAAGGACCAGTCAGTGATTACATTATTGGAGTGAGTCAGTATGTACAGAATGAAAACAATACAGTGTTTCAAAATAGAGATACATGATTTTGAAGAAAAAAAAGTTTATTGTATTTTTATATATTGTGATATCTATTATATTTGCAATATATCTTGAAATTAGGTTTACAGTGCATATTTTATACATATCCAAGAGCAATAACATTTAAGAGAATACTCAAATATGAACTGCTACACTAAAACAATCCCATCCATTCCATTTCAGCACATGTTTATATAGGGCTAAACAACATGGGTTAGCTAGCTTTCACCCTAAAAAGACAAGATATTTAGTTATTTGCAGAGAACATTCTATTATCTACAAAATTGCAGCCTTTGCGATTGCACCAAATCAAATTTCAATCTGACTGCAACATGTTTTGCAGTGCTAGTAGAAAACTGCAAAACATTGGCTTTCTGTGGTCCTTAATGTCTACCCTCTTGTTCGGCATGTGACTCTAGTCCGGGCTTGGTTCCAATTTGATTTAGTCTCAGTTTTGATGTGGTCTATGTGTTAAGTTAAAGTCTGCTCCATTTGTGTGTTTTGTAGAGAGGACCTGGTACAGATGGGCTTTGGAGCTGATAATCACACTGTGACTGTGCGCACAGTGAACGTTGGGCTCACGCTGCTCGCTGTGTGGGACAGTGAGAACCCGGGCGTCGCAGACTTCATCCCTCTGCCTGTGGAGCACGTCATCCTCCCTGATGACGCCACCAGACTGATAGTGGGAGATGTGGTCTGTTTCAGTGTCCCTCCTCTCAGCCCAAATGGTTAGTTTTTATTGAAAATGCACCCCCCCCCCCTTCCCACCAGTGTATTGTAGAAGAAGAAATTTGTGATGATAAACATTTCATCTATTGCAATCTTGTAAGGATGAGCTATGGGAGTGTGAGTCATTGTATGAAGCTTTGGGGTGAGAGCTTATTGGCTGTCCAAGGGTGGTCCATCCTGCTTAACACTTTTCTGTCTGAAAAAGCTGTTCTAAAGCTGTGCTAGTGGCCAACAAAATGTATTAGATTATCAATAATGTGCCATATGGTTTGTGAGAGCTAAATTTAAATGCATACTTCCTCTCGTGGTTTGAAAATTAGGTAACCCAGCTGTAAAGTCACCCAGTAAAAATGTGTATTCATTTGAATTACATTTGCAGGTGTCCAGGGCACGTGGAGCTCCTCTTCTAATGGAGTGCTTCAGGTGGATCCTAAGAGTGGTGCAGCTGTGGCCCGAGATGCTGGAACAGTGACCGTGTACTATGAGATACCTGGATTATTGAAAACATACAGAGAGGTGTGTTTTACCTGTTACTTTGAGATAAATGGAAGATTTTAAAAAAACTTCAATCATGTAATGATGAGCTTAATACATACTTAAGTTATGTTTTGTTTGGGTGCATGTAAAAAATATTGTTTTTTGTCTGAACTGTTAATGCAGGTGGTAGTGGAAGCCTCATTTAGAACCACAGTTCAGGCTCATGCAACACCTTTGAGAAGTGGCGAGGAGACAAAGGTTTACATTTCAACCAGAGAAAGAGGAACCAACCTTATAGGTAATGATGAGGCCCCCTTTAAAATTCACATATTTAAACATTATTATCTGATTTGATATTAAATATGTTTTTTTTTTTTCTGCAGGTACATGTTCCTCTGCCCAAACTGAAGCCATCCATGTGCTCCATCCTCAGACTTCTGTGAGCTGCCTCTTGAGTTTCACCAGTGACTCTGTCAGCTTCTCTCCAAACGATGTCTTTAGAACGCACACCGGATTCGACTGTAACATGGGTAAAGACCACCTCACCCCCTCTGCCTTTATCTGATTTTAATATATTTGATTTGGTAACAGGTGAATATATTGATATGGGCAATATATCAAAAATTATAATGTAGGAATTGTTTTAAAGTTGTGCAAAACTGGAATAACATTGCTGGAATAAAGTTGTGCAAAAACTGGAGTTGTTATAATGTAATATTAATATTACATTATAACCATCAAATAAGGCTGCAAAAAATGCAGAGAAGAAATATACTTTCAATTCCAATTTGAATATAAAGTGACTTTTCTGTGCTTTAGAGGTTCATTTTTATAATTTCTTAACATTTTTGCAGTACTTGAACCTCAACCACAGTATTTTAGCACATTTTAACACATCTGATGGTTTGCCACAATATTGACAATGGGATAATCTAAACAAATATTGCAAGTCTTTTGTCAATATCTCTCTCCTGAATTTGGTAATACTGGGATGTTTTCTTGGCAATTTTATTTTGGATCGTAAACTTTTAGCTAAGAATCTGTAAAAAATATATTGTCTCAAGGGACTTCGGCAAACAGATATATCTTGATGCCAATTCAGCTACACTTGGCTACAAATCAGATTTTTTTTCCCTGAGCGCTACAATCTCTTAAAGTTGTGACCCTGGAGTTTAGTTTTGTTAAGATCACCTTTCTTCCTATGTTTTCTTTTGGTCTTAAACTGGAAAGAACCAAATTTATGCATATGCTCAAAGGACTAGGAAAGTACCATTTATAAGGCTGTAATCAATACCTGTTTTGCCAGTGGAATGAATTCAGCCGGTGCCATAAAAAGTGTCATGGTGATATATTGAACAGAAGAAGGTCCTTGTTGCCTGGTCCTATAATTGTGTTTGGGGTTTGGGACTCCCACTTATTGGTTTTCCTCTAAGGAGCGCAGTGAAATGTTTTCTTCCCAAATGTATGTTTAATAGTTGGGGTTGTCTGATATGGATTTTTTTTTAGCCAAGAGTAATATTTGACTTGCTGATGTAGCCTATAACCAATATTTCTGATATCAACATTTTAAAATATAGCAAGGACCTAACATTTCTATTAAGTTAAAGTCTCAAATTAATATTTTGTTTGTTTGTGTAATAACAAAATGTATTTATCTGAGATAGAAAATCATTTGCTACATGTTTGTGTAAACATACTTCCACATGTGTGTGAAGATACTGCCTTATTTTTTAGCAAAACTGCTTCAGTTTCCATTTGTATTAATTGGTCAGTTCAAAAAGACAAATCTGACAAACTGTGAATGACACATGGGCACATAGAGACTAAGACATTGCAGAAATTATATCGGTGCCAAATATCTGCTAAATTTTCAATATTACACTATTAGCGATATCTGGGGAGACATAACAACTAACCCACCCCTCTTTGGTAGTCTTCTTCCTTTGTTGAAAAGTTACATAATCACATCTAACCACTGCTGTATTACTTTGTCTCATTGCTTGTAGGCCTGTACACTTGTTCCCTGACCTTGCAGTCTCTGTCGGAGCAGCAGAGCCGTGTGCTCAGCATGTCCCGGACTAATGTGCTGGTCAGAGCGGGGCTGGAGGGCAGTGCGTTCTCCGGGGAGCAGGTCAGCACGCAGTTACCTGTGGAGCCAGGCCTCTACTCTGACCAGAGCGAGCTGCTACTGTCCAGCCTCCACCCGTCTGCAGAGCTCACGGTATACGGGCCCACGACTGCCCTCTCCAGTGTAGAGGTACATATACATGGAATAGCCTGGTTTTAAAGGCGTCACAGTGTAATGAGATGTGTGGTTTGGAGAGAAGAATGTGTTGTCATATATCCTAGAAGGAAAATTTTAAATTCTGTGTATTTACCTAATCTAAAATGCATTCCGAAGTATTTTGAGTTTACTTTTCTATAATGCTTCTCTATTTTTGCTTTGCAACAAACATAGTGGATTTTGCCATTAATAATCTCAAGTTCTATTGGGTCAAACAATTTCAAAAAGTTCTTGTGTCAATAAGTTCTTATTGGACCATCCAATATAATTTGACCATCTTTACAAACTTTTTTTTTTTACTTTATTTTGTTGCATGGCCAAAATGATAATTTACATTTTAAACACATTTATTTAATTTGAACTGTTAACCTCATATAGCCACCCAAATGATATCTTATTTGCATGTTGTTAAGATAATTAGTGTTTTAACTAGTTTAATCTTGGATTCCACCCCACAGGCTGCATCTACATCTCCGGACATTTCCGTGCAGGAGTCAGAGGTACACCACGGCTTCCCCAGTTTCATAAAGTACTTGGTCTCTGCAGCACAATCCACAGCTTCAGTCTCAGCCTCTGTCTCCATCATCTCCTCCTCTGGACAACGCCTGCTCATCCCTGTCACTGTGATGCATGTGACTGATCCCAGCGCTGCAAAACAAGGTCAGAACCCTTTGAGAGCAATTACAGGTCACTGCGTGAGGACATGATGTTGTGATTAAATGTAGCTTTGTCAGAAATGAATGTTTATGTTGAAAGACGCATACTTCACATACTTTTTTTTCCCCATAAAGTTTCTCTGTTACTTTTAGTAAAGAGGAACTAGTCAGCAGGGATGGGCAGTATATTATCTACAAGATAATACTGAAATTGCAAAGTTTGATTATTGTGTAGATAGTCTAAAAAAGGGCTGATTAAAAAAACAGCAGCATGTAATGTAATCCTCCATACAAGGGTACCTTGTCTGCCTAGTCATCTTTTTTGCAATATCAGAACATCAGCCTTTACACATTTGAGCATACTTTTTATGAATGTCAAAATATCGAATTATTGAAATCGGATCATCAACCAAATGGTATTAGATACTGTTTGTCTTCCTCTTGCCCTCCTCTAGAAAGCAAAAGATAATTATTCACGTCTATGGGAAAGAGTTCATCAATTACCTAACTTTTTCAAAATAGTGAATAGTTGTAGTTCTCACAGTGAGAAATATTGTGATTTGATGCTACAACATTATCTGTTGTGGCCCTTGTTATCACAGTGTGGCAGGTCTCATATTAGTCAGTGCGTTGCTGCAGCAGTACTCTGTCTGACAGCCTGTTGTTTGATCCACTGCGCCCTCAGCAGCTGCTGCTCCACTCGGGAGTTTGGAGGGGGGCTCGTCTCTGCACAGCTTCATCAACAGCTACCAGACGATGTTCTTCACCCTATTCGCTCTACTTGCTGGTTCTGCCATCGTCATCATCGGTTGGTCACTTTTCTTGACATTCATAGAACTTATTTACATTTTTATAGATGCAACTTGGGGTAATGTTTTTGTTTTTCCATGTTTTCCCATATGATAAAATAATGATAGGTCCAATATGTAGCAATGTTGTATAAACTGAAGGGTTTTCTCTCATCGTAACTTTTTTGAACAAATTGTACAATTGTGGAGTGTTTTACTGTTTAAGTTTTTTGTATTTCATTTTGAGTTACTTTGATAACTGTGTACTTGAGTAGTGTTTTCAGCAATTTTTTTTTTTGCTCAGACTTGCTTTTTCTTGTGTAGTTATTGGCTACTCTCCGCATCTCTGCCAATAGGTCATTGCCTGGTTTCTTTAACACTTGTATTGTTTTGCAGTACTCCACACTTTGTTTTCACCAAGAGAACCACCATATCATCCAGCCTTTATCCAGAGAACTCCACCAGTAATGGGTAAGAAACTCTCACTGCAGTAAATGCTACACCAATAAGTAAAAAGTTCAAGAAGCAGAAAATACTATGAAGTGTTTTTTCTCTTAAGCCTGATAGGTTTTAATAAGAAAAGAGATCCGTCATGCCGCCAGCAATTACACAATGAATCACATAACTATTTAGTTATGCTTAAACCCACACTCTTGTAATATCTTCAGTAATTATGAATTAAATCTAATTTTAAGTAAAAAATAAGATTGTAAATGATTTTAGATGAAGCTTTTACTGGAGCCATTTGTCACAATTTGGAAATGTAGAGAAGTAATTAATCAATGATTCCAAAACCAATTGGGCTTTTTATTTTCTTAAAGGTCCGTCCAATATTAAAAAATCACTCTTGTGAGCTTTAAGCCATGTTGTAATCTTGTTACCTTATCAAAAATATTCCTGGAGTAGTGCTTTGTTTCATTCACACATGTTTGAGTAACCCTGTATTATTAGTCTGTCTACATTTCCAAAGCTCCAAATGCCCTGTTCCACTTGTGAACAAAGCATTGCAAAAAGTATTTCAAATTATCAGCTACCTTTCACCTTTTGTTCAGTAGAGATTGGCAAGGCTGAAATCATCCATATGTTTCTTGTGAAAGTGTATAGATTTTAAAAACACAGTGGAGCACTTCCTGTATTACGACATGACATCACATGGGGGGACAGAGTGTTCTCTGTTTGAGAGAAGAACTCAGCCTAATTATGCAGGGTTTGTATGTTATGTGTGAATGAAACAACTCTAGGTGTGTTTGTGATTAGGAAAGAATATGGGCCCTTTAGCTTTATGCAGCTAAGCTACAATATTGTCTCATTGTCTTCCAACCTTCTTAAATGGGAGCTAAAGTTGTGTTTAAAACTATTGTTATGCAGGTTTGAACTCCGCTGTAACAAACTCATTCAATAATTCGATCCCGAGGATGGATATGACCAGGAGTCCAAGGTCACGGCTCTTCTCTCCTGATTACAAGTCGTGATGCAGCCTTCACTGTGGAGCACCTTTGGCCCTCTGATACTTTTGTTGGTGCCTCAAAATCTCAGGAGAAGTGCTTTGTGGTATGAGACTGAACAAAGCGAATGTCATGCTAACAAAGCTTGGTACATATGCAAATACAGTATATTCATGTGTTATGTTATTATTACCAGATTTTCTAAAATAATAGGACGGACTACTTATGCTTATTTTGTGTGGCATCCTGCATCTTTTCTGTATTGTGCTCACAACTTGAACATATTTAATACCAAATTTTCAGTTATTTTTTGTTTTATTTTAATTCTTCATAATGCTGAGAAACAATCACTATTTTTGCTTCAAGTGACTGCTTTTGCTTTTTATTTGTGTTTTCAGATGTGAACATTGGTGAGAAAAAAACACATTCTCCTGTGACAATAAGCATACTTTACCTCTTTATTTATTAGGACAGAATAGCCACGTGTGAAGCTAAAATGTCCAATTAACAAAACGCATTGTGACAAATCCTACAAATGTGCAGAAATGAGAAAAAAAAGTTTGATATTTTTCTGTTTTGGGGCATTTGAAACAACACTGAATTCCATTATAAACTGACTGATTAAACAATGTGAACCAGTTGGCATGTGAACGTTTTAGAATTTACCTGGACATTTTTTTCTTTTCAAAGCTGTTTTTTGCAGAGTGGTTCTGTATTAAGTGAAGCCGTCCAGGGGAGGATTACTGAAGCACTGAATCACAGGGGCGTGAGTGTGACTTGACTTTCAATAACTGCATTTTGATTTGCCACTTAGCCTATAATTTGTTCAAAAAATATATTTATGTGTGTTGTAATGGATGGTGAAAATGGGAAGATGAAGATGTTTTGTTTCTTACGATCAGTCATGTGTACAGCTCATACCAGTTTGCTTGTTTGTATAAACTCTTATTTTGCTAATTAAAAGTTTTTATTCTTTAATTTTGTGACTGAAATTCAATACTTTGAACACTATGAATATTAGCTAGAAAAATAATATTGTCTTCAGTTTACTCAGAAAGGCGCATGTCTTTATTAAATATTAAAGTCTGTAATGTAAAAATTATCCCTGTAGAAAGATGATTAGAGGAATGTATAAATAGTGAATCCTACAATCTCCTATCTCTCACTGAGCAGAGTTTTTCTGTCTTATGGATGCAACTGGGCAATCGTTGCCCTAAAAACAAAATGCTTTGACTTGTTCCAGATGCAGTTTTAATGCACACTTACCCTAGTAAAATCAATGTGCTATTTCTAAATTTATGTTGTTGTTTTAAAGCTACCCTTTGGCAATATTGTCTTGTCCAATGCCCAGAGAACAGGGTTAAAGAGCTATGTTCCTCTAAAACCATAAGTTACAAATGACTGCTCTTGGCTGTACTAGTATCATAAGTTATTGTGAAGGAAGCTTATATATTACAAAGCAAAATTATTGTAGTGTGGCTTCTGGCATCTTTCCATTATCTAAAGAAATTATATAACCTATGTACCCTGCCTAAAGCACATTTTTTGTGGGATAGCCTTTACGTGACCCAACATTGGTTTAAGTAAATTAATACATCTGTGATGGATTTGTAATAATATATAAAGTGCACTTAACCTACTCTGCAATGTACTTTACAGACATGTGATTGTCCCTGTTTGAACTCCTTTTATTACCCCTCCCCTCATTCTCCTGCTACACGTTGCTACAGTGCACAGGGACAGAATGAATGTAAAAGTGATCTACAACTTGGATTCCCTGAGGATGTGTAAAAACCTGGGGCCCATCTGCCACCTCATCTGTATGCAGCTGTCACCACCTTCACTATAGGTACATGCGTATATATGTAACATCATACACACTTACAGCAGAGGGTCTAAGAAATTCTCTTTACTGTTGCACAAATCTCCACTGAGAAAGTACACTGCAAATACAGACAACAGTTCAGTACTTTTGAATGGTTTAATGCCATATTATAGAACATTCTAGACAAAACAAAATCTCTATGGAGAAAAGCAGTTGCCAGAAGTTACTTTATATTTTTCTTGATTCATCTTGAAAATGAAACTGTTCAAGACAAATCTAGAGCAACAGCCTAACTAACAACTTAAAAAGTACAAAAGAAAATGCTAATATTCTGAATTCAAGTTATTTTAACCTGTGTGCATATTCTTTTTTGCTATGTAATGCCTTGTGTTTGGTTTATGTTCACTCAGTCTGCACAGGGGCCCATACACTCTGTTTACCAAACCCACAAAAGCCCACAAGCATTTTACGCTGCATGAAGAATAATCCTAAATGGGACAAGTGCGCAGAACAAGCTATAATCTGTGCATTATTCTCCTGCAGCGCTCCATGTCTCAGAGGGGGGCAGCAGACGCAGCCTTAGTGCAGAGCCTCCAGGTGTCTAAGAGGCAATGCTGGTTGTGTAGTTCTGTGTGTCAAAACGGGTAAATGGTAGAGGGAAAGGAACTATATCTGTAAAACATAATGTGCAACTGTTGATTCTACTTACAAGCATGTCATCATTTTAACCTCTCACCAAAAACAGTAATTACATGATCAACATCCAGGAAGTGCTTATAGATGCTTATGGAAATGGGCAGCTTGTTAGTTTGTTGTAGTACTTGATAATTAAAGGATACATAACTTTTCTGGTTAGGACTCTGTTTTGTCTCCATGGTGATGCTATTACTTTGACATTTTACATCTTAAAAATCCTTTGAACATGCATACTCTCTGCCTCTGCACAGATCTGACCTGTAACTTTGCCTGGTGGTGCCAACTGCTTGTGGATATTGAGATAAAAGAAAGAATAAAGTGAAATTCCATACTGCGGATCATAAAATGCAATAGCATCTCCATGGAGGTGGTGTTCAGAATCAGGATCATTTTATTGCCATTATCAGTAAACACAGTTCACAAACTATAGGAACTAGCTTCCCACTCTGTTCCTTTTATATGTTGTGTGTTGTATACAGATGTGTAAATGATTGCCTCCTGTAGTTTTGAACACATCTCCTCAATAGTTTAAATTTAGTGTGATGAGATTTAGAAGTGGAAATGACCATTTTTAAATTACTTCCATCAAGTGCGGGCGACCAGTGGTTTTTTAAACCATCCAGTATATCTATAGCTCATTAGGGCAGCCATCCGTGATAAGCTAAAATGACACCCAATTTATTTTCTCGATTAAGGCGTAGGGGGAGTGTAAACCCCACCTGTCAGGCCTGTCCAGTGGGAGAGGTATCGGGCTGCATGTCCCTGGTGAGGCCAAAGCACCACTGTTCCAGATGGCTTACTGCTGTCAGCACAGGCCATCAGAGAGGAGGCCGTTTTGAATGAGAGCTGACAAGAATGGGAAGGATGTTTCCCTGTGGAGGTTTGAGCAAGAGAGGGTTTGTCCACGTGTTTGAAGTCAGAACTCTGCATATTTACAAAGCATGCATATTATAACTGTTGACACTCATTCCATGACATATTGATGAGAATGGATAACATAACATTCCCTCTTTAGAAACATGCCTAAGGGGGCTTATATGTTATCCATATATGTTTGAGTAGTCTTGTGATCCTCCTCACAGTTAGCAGTATGAGCCCACACTTTTTGTACAACGCTCAGCCCACAACCCTAGAGTCTTTTTTTTTAAAATAAATATTCAAAAGCAGGTGACAAGTAATACATAACTTCACAAACCTGATGTGATGTGCAATAGTTTCACTAGCAGATTGTGTTGTGATGGCACTCTGAAGGGAGAGTGAAGGGAGGGGGACTCAGAGCATCAAAAACAAAACATTTAACGTGTTGTTTTTGGCAAATATAGCATTTTCAAAACACCATGGTGATACAAATATGCTATGTGTTAACCATGAATACCTCAAGTGTAATGGCCCTTTTTGAGTTTCCCAAATAAAAACATGCTCGCACCATTTGAATGATTAGCCCCCCCTTCCGCCTCAGCTGGCACCAATAACTGTGGGTCTGTGCAAATATACGAGTGGTTTCCACAAAATAAATCTTGGTGGCCAGCAGCAGCACCCATGCTGGCACCCACATGTGACCATCCGGCCAAAAAGAAAGAGAAGGAGAACCAGAGTGTAGTGAGGACAAGCAGTATGTTTTCAAGTGCTTAATATCCTGTGGTTACGGCAGGCACATCCACAAATCACACACTGCAGTAGTTGTAGAGTACACTGAGTCACTGAGAGAGAGTGAGGTGACGCTATGATCGAAATTACAGCCATTCCACTCCACTCTCATATGTTAATGGGGATACTTTCTTAAAATGCAAGATGTTCCAAGCATTTAACTGCAGAAAATTGATGTGGGCTCAGTTAGGACACTGGAAATATGTGCTGCCACAAGAGGTCACTACTTATTTCAGTCTCAATAATGAATAAATAGAACATAAAAAGTGGACACTGTGTTAAGTGGGTTAATAGACTTCTGGAGGGGGCAAAGATCTATGCCAGGATCCACTTGAGTCTTCCTAAATGGATATCAAAAGCATCCATATATCCAAATTTCCAAAATATCCCAGTTTTGTTTTATATTGACAAAATCTGATTCTGAAAAAGCATTTTAATATACAAAGCAGAGAAGTCTAAGGTGGAACAGATACATGCAAAATGAGGCATAAAACCTATCTGCAGTACTTTGATTGCTTTTTGTGTTTATTTTATGTGGATTTGTGAAAGAAGAGAATTGTTTTTTGTTTTTTTTTAACAAAGGTTTCACCCATTCAAACTATATAATATATTTAAAATTGTTAACTGCCTTGGCAACAATCCCAACTGTGTATCATTCTGAAAACCCATACACCGTTGCCAGTGTCTAATGATCTCATACTTCCTACACTATTCACACCACTGGGAACCATAGATAGCCTTGGATTTGGGATGTGTGTGGCAGTATTTCTTTGTGTGTGGCTTGTCAAGGCTTGTTGTCCAATTGGCCTTTTGCCTTTGGGATTAGGTATCCACTCTGAAAATAACAGCCCATCTTTGCTCCCGCTCCCTCGGGCTTTTCACTTATTGTCACCAGATTGATGCGCCTATTCCAGTTTTACAAGTTATATGAGGAAACGTTACTGTCATTCTCATTGTGCACGTCCTACACTTGAACTGACTGTACGGGAAGGAATGCAGAGGGGCCTTTGTGTAATGTAAGAACCTTACAAATCCTTTTGACACAAAATCTTGACCCTGAACAACTGATAACAATCCACGGTATAGTACCGTAAAATATACTTCCCTTCTGTTCCAGTTAATGATATTTTAACTTCCACTGTAGGATACTGGTAGTTGGGAAATGATTGTATAATTTGTTGACATAATACTTGCCCATTACAACATTAAATATTAACTGGAACTAATCAGAACGGGTCAAATAAATCTAAGATAACCCATGACCTTTTTCAGTTTTAATTAAATAAACCTGATTTGATTCATCCAGAAAAACAGATGAACTAACCTCTTAACTACAAATTGTATGTGCACCACAGTTTGAGAACCATTGCCTTGCATTTTGCTTAAAGTTCAGTTAGTCTTCCTTCCAGTGATGCTGAGACCTCAATCTGCTCACTGTTGCTTTTAAAGGGGGCATATTGAAGACTCAGGCAAGCAGAGCAAATGGCAAAAAGATAGCACCCATAAAAGTTAGATGATGCCTTCCTTTACTCTAATAGCTAGCAGCACCAAAAATATGAATAGATGCCAGCCAAAACTTTTATGCTTGTACATCCCTCTGAGGTGCAATTTTAACATTTTGAAATAAATTCCTGTTCAAATGGATCACAGTTGTTTTTCCCTCAGATACTAAAACAGTAAGCTGCTTGTCAAAGTAATGTGTTAAATAATAAATGCAATATTGGTGGAGTGAAAAATATGGTTGGTGGATTCAGCAATTCCCCACAAAGTCATTGATTGACAGCAACACTGCAAAAAATGAACAGAGCCTTGCTTAAAATGACATGAATACAAAACATTAAATCAATTTAAGCAGCCTAGATTATTTATGTTTAGGCTTGTTCAGGATGTGACCATTTTAACTTAACACTAATTGGTACAAGATAATTTGGCTTGAAATAATAGGCCGAAGTGTATTTTGAAATAATAATAAATAATTTGATAATTTTTTTTTTTTTTTTCTGCAGTGAATAATGAAAGACATGTTTGATTCATGGACCTGTGTACGCTTTATACTGAAATACTAACCCACAGTAATATTGATAAAATGATGCTGCTTGGCTGAAATAGTTCGAACTGTACAATATAAGGACGATATTACGCACAGGACTACCACCGTGTCTTTGCTTACAGTCCAAAGAAAGTTCGCGAGTTCATGTTAATATAAGCACAGGGAGAGCAAGAAAAATCATATTCTGTTTGCCGTCTCCGCACGAGGAAGTGTGCACTTGTTCTCTACCCCACTGTGTGCGACTGCAAAGCCATTATGCGCCTAATGCGACCTGCAGATTCATAAAACTTGGAAGTCCCGCCCACCTGACAGACATCCAGCCTGCCAGTGTTTACGAAAAGTCACGGGAGCGGCGTGGTGGAGCGAGAGACACCTCCACCTCCGAGAAAATGCCACATCGTAGCGTTGGCAGCGAGCACAAGGAAGAGCCTCACTCCACGGAACTACAGCCCGCACTATGTGGTCGGTCTGGCGCGCTTGACAGCACTCCAGTTCCCATGACGGATTCATTTAACCAAACCAGGAGATTGTAATGTTTTTTTCTTGACTTGAACTTTGACCAAAAGGAACTGGGTTTTATTTTTTGATACATCGTCCACTTTGTAAAAACAATGGCGAGGCGTAAAAGGCGCAACCTCTACTTGGATTGTTAGTACACCGAGCAGAACCGACCTGCCTCTGCCGCTGTTCGCCACCGCTGCTGCTGTTGGCGTGAGCGGGTACTACGCGGACATGGATAGCCTCTCGGAGAACCCAACGCGGGCTTCGGAATACCTAAGCGAGCTGAATAAGATCATAGAGACGCAGCAGGAGTTGTTGGAGAGGCAGAGGGGCAGGATTGAGGAGCTGGAGCAGCAAGTGTCCGACTTGTGCACTGAGAACGTGTGTCTGAAGGAACAGTACCAACGGCACCTGGCAACCTGCAGGCTGCAGCAGGGCAACAGCCTGAGCACGCTGGGAGCCATCAAGGAGCACATCACACACGAGAAGTAAGACACCCATCCACACATGAGAACACCTCTGTATGAGTGATGGAGTCTGTGCAATGTATTCTCTTAGTTATTTCATATGACATGTTGTGATGCATTTAAGTGACAGCACTTTTGCACTGTTAGTGCAAAGGGGTATTATGTCATTCATGCCTAACTGGCACTGACCCAAGATTTGCAAGGTAATTATTTCACATCAAAGATAATTATCTCATTTTAAATGATAATCATTAGCCTACATTACACAGATCTTTTTTCCTCCAACTTCTCTACTCTTAATTCTCAAAAAGATTTTGACATCTGAAATATATGTCTACTCCTCCATCCATCCTTTCAGTTTAAACTTCAAGATCTGCATGGGAAATAACTTCATTTTGCAATATCTAGCCCTATTTATTATTAATTCAATAGTTTTCTTGCACTGTCTGCATTGCAAATCGTTAAGTCTGTGTGCTGATACATGCAAACTCCTCATACTTACCTCCAAATGACAACATTTAGTTTGTTTTGCACAATACATGGATGTAGGGAACATGACCATGCATCTCCAACTTCATGATGTTCTGAGTATAATTTAGTTTGACATTTTATTTTCATCATTTTATTTGCATCTGCGTAGGAATTATTACACAAGCAGATCAAGTATATGAATGGTTTTCAACAATTTTGCTTTGTCATCTTTCTCTCATTGGTAACTTTAAACCCTACTTTTTCTTACTTCTTTGGGACACTTCATCTATGATATATGGACTGAAAAATCCTCCCCATAACCTCTGGGAGCATACTAGATATAGACAGTTTTATTTTAAGAGTTGCATGTACTGGCTTAGCCCCTAGCACAGTTGCATGTATAGGACAGACTGGTACATCAGGAGTGTACCTTTTAAAGACCTTCATACAGGGATATAGGGGACTCTGGGGATTAGCGGCTAACCTCTGTAGCTTCACACTCCACTGGTTAAATCTAAAAAATGTCCTGGGTTGTAGACACTTAACTCACAGATTGGTAAAATCCTATGGACACTCTTGACCTTTGTCTCCAGGGGGCATGTTACAGTCATGAATACGAGGGGCAGCAAATCAATACAGATGAGTCACGTACAGTATGTCTTTACTGGAGGAGATTAGGATGTAGCGTAACCTTTTGAGTGCAGCCTTAATAAATCCTATGTTGCTAGGAATGGGATAAAAGCTGCGAGTTACCAACATCTGTGTTTGATCAGTGTCTGCTCAAGATTACGGCACAGTTGTATGGATTTTGTGTTATCAAGTGTCCTTAAAGGGAAGAGGTTTTACATGGTGGTGTTGTTAGTTCAAATAAAAGTAAGAGAAATTTAGATAAAGATCCAACTCACTGTATCTAGTATCTGTCATGGATGAAAATATTTGAAAATCCCTGGATGGATTAGTTAGAGTTAATTATTAAAATGGAATGCTCAGTAACCTTTTGGTTTGCTTTCTCTCACTTCTGAACTGTGGGGTGAATCTGGATTAAACTGGAGTCGACTAATATTTGATGTGGTCATTCATTATGACAGTTAAAGTAGTTTTTTTATGACTCTATGATCAAATTAATTATAATAGAATGTCAGCCCATAAATATATAGTTTAGGATTCTTGCCTTTTGCTATAACAGTGAATTAGAGAAAGATTTTGCAGCCCTATTACATTAAAAGTATAAATTAGGGTCACATATCTATTGCTTTTACATAGCAGTTTGCCTTTCTATGGAATTTGTGATGCAATAAACTGCAGATATAGTATCATGAATAATAATACTGAAAGATTACCAGTGACTGTATGTGATATAATTTCAGTATTTTACATGTACCCTGGGGTGAGTTCATTTTATTCACATTTTTGTCCTTACGATAATGTCTTGTTTACTGTTGAACAACAGTTGAAAATTATGTATTCAACTTTTAGACTTAGTTTGATCCTAGATTTGACCTGGAATAGTCATGTTAAAGATCTGGTTTAAATGTGGTGGTAGACCTACTCGAAAATCCAGATCTTATATTTGATGATACTTGGTATAAAAGTTTGAGGGCTTAACGTTTACTTGAAGTAACATAGGATCCAATTTACATATCATCTATAGATAACAGAAGGAAGCTTAAGTGCCCAAAGAAAACCAGTGACAAGGGCTAGTCTAGTGATCTAACCCACAACCTTCCTTGTGTAAGCTGCTAAGATGCCGCTTTACTTCCTTGGTACGGCTTGAAGTTCAAAAATAATATTGGTACGACATAGTGTAGCAGTGCAAGTATAAACAGGCACATATCCTCCAAATCTGTAAACATCGCAGACAGTTTTTTATCACCAATGTACTACTTAGATTTTTTCCTATCCCAGGGGTGTAGTAGCAATAACCTGCATCCTGCTCCAACAACTTTCCGTGTTTTTGACACAACTCTGGTGCCAGCTGTACCCACTGTGTTTGTCATGAGCTCTGCGATCAGGAACTAAACTTGTGTGAGGAAGAAGTTTTGAGAAGTGAGCCGAGTGTTAAGGCCGTTTAGACTGGTCCATTTTCAGAGATGGTTTCTGTCTGTTTCTGTGTTTGCCTCAGTTGTGTGTTCTTCCATTGTGTTACCTGTTGTTACATTTTGAACTAAATAATATTTTTGAGAATTTTTATCATGGTAAACCTTGGGATACTTATTTTTAAGTTTATTTATTTAAGTTTTATTTATTCTCTACAAATATTGACTTTTTGATTTCAGAAGCTTTATATTTTGGAAAAACAGTGTTGGGAAGTAATTTAATACATGTACCAAGGTATGTAAGTATATGTATGTATACAGTTTTTTTTACACTTTCATTTGGTGGTATTTAGATTACTTTCCTTAAATCAGGAGAATACATTGTGGGACTTCAAATCTCAATTCTCTATTGTATAACTAAATTAAATTCCAAAGCATTCTTCCCAACATTGCCTATTAGGCTAATAGGCAATAATTGACACAATCTGATTTTTTTAGTGAATTGGGACTGATACTAAATTGTTCAGAAGCTTTCTATATGCCCTATAATTGCATTATGTTCAGCTTGTCTTATTACATTAATAGCCCACTAAAAGAGTTCAAATGCAACCTCCCACAGCACAGTACACTTTCTTTTTGTACTTGGTCATTTCATTTGGATAACCCTTTTCAGTACAATTCCCCATCCCATTTAATAAGTTTTGGTTTAATTCTTACGAGACTTTGACCATTTAATGAGCAAAAGATGCAAACTCTGTCTCTTAGCTAACATCAAACAAGCATTACCATGGAAACAGCCTTTTATATCCAGCAAAAACACGAACAAAATACTTTGCTTTGAGTCGTGTTTTTCTCCATCTTGTCAATAGGGCCCACTTGATGTTTCCATGGCAACAAAAGGTCTTAGTGTTAGCCTTTAATCTACAGAATGGCTCCCAAAATAATGCAGATTTGCTTGTTAGATTAATGTAAAGTTTATGGATTTCCTGAGGAGGTAATGCTTGTTTTGATCACTATCTCTCCAGGTACCCAGACAAAGAGACACCACACATAGACACATATGAAGGCTGTATTTTGAGATTGAGGAAAACATCAGGAATGCGTAGACAGAAAACCCCAGTCTGGTCTGAACCAAGAGACTCGTAGCTTTGGGGCAGAATGTTACCTGCAGAGTTCATGCTGAGAGTTTTATTGGATAGAAAAATATGGCACATTTTTTCTGCCACTTATTTAATCACAGCCTCCGGTGAGAGATGTTGATTTGTAGGTTCGTGTCTATTTGACTTCTTGAAAAAGTATCTATTACTATATTGCATTACTTATTTTGCATATAGTTATATATGTGTAAGTGTAGGTTCATACAATAGCTACATAATTACACAAAAGTCTTCTTGTTTATTACAGTTTTGTTCATACGTGGCATTTGATTTAATGTGCAGCCTTGGTCCTCCAGCCACTTCTTCTGTGTTTATGTTTCTTTTTCACGTGACCTTTGTCCCGGGTATAAATTCAGGGTTTAATCGCTGCCTCTTCCTTTTGTAAATCCAGTGACAAGAGGTCAGCCATCTATTGTAATCTCATGATTTAAGTGTCCTTTTGTTATTATTTTGCTTTTATTAACATCCATAATTGCATTTTACTTGTATTTAAATTCATATTGCACTCTGATGTTGCTCCGTTGTTTTGGTTTATTCATGTGCAGGGAGACGCTAACTCTGACCATTATCTTCCCCCTGTAGATTGGGCTGGACCGATAAAAAGTGGCACATGTTGATCTCATTTTGTATTATTGTGAACCAGATTAAACTGGGAGCGCCTCCAAAAGTTCCTGCTGTGTCCTGTAGCTCCATAATGCACTACAAGCTTCACAAATAACACAAATGCTGAAGTTCGCTGGTCACGTAAGATGTACATTACACAGTCACAGAAGATCAGAGTACAGATCTGAACCATATGATTGGCAATGAGACCCAAGTATTTGTAAAGAAAACTTATATAACATTTAGGAGAACAACTTGACCACTGTTAAAATGTATGAAAGATGAAACTAAGTGTGAAGATATAGAGACTTTTACTGAAAAAAACCTCAGTCTTAAATCACAAAGTTTTGCCATGGGTACTTTTCAGATTGTAGAATGTGATTATGTCATATCCCAGATGGGGGTAATGGTAAACGTGCAAATGCTGAACTGATCTGATTTCTGATAGTGACTGCATGCTCAAATGCAGATGTTTTGTTGTCAATCTTTATTTCAACTGCCCCCATCTGTATTCAGTATTTTAGTTTTATACCGAAATATTGTGACCTCATCTGACACCTAGTAATTTGAAGCCGAACAGAACCCTGAGAATCATGAGAGGATTTTAGGACATTATATTAAGAGCTTTTGAATAATAAAGCTATGTGAAAACTGCAACCAACTCAAATTGCTAGTCTTTCCATTAACATAATCTTTTTCTTACACTCAATTTGCTTGGCTTGAAATTTAATTGTAAGTAATCCAGTAATCCCCC